AAATTTTTTCCCTAATATTTCTTCCATGATGTGGCTTGAATTGGTGTCCTGACTTATGTGACCCCATCAATAGTTTTTTTTTTAAAAAAGTTAACTCTTCAATTAGAAAATACCATCTATGGAGGGGAAGATTAGATCGAGGAATGGAGAGCATTACTCATATTTTAAATCCTAGAAATTATCTCTCCTACTATGCAGGATATTATTAATAAACAAGGCCGGCAATACTTGTGCCGGCATATTTTAAACAATGCAGAGAGTAGAGCACGCAGACAATACAATAAAATAAAATAACAAAATATATACTAATTTATTATACTACGAGGAATTTGGGAACCTCTGCAAGTTGAGCATACTTGTACTGTGCATGCATTAATATTAATAAACCTTTCGTCGTTGGCAAAGTTCAAATTCGTTCAGAAGTATTGAAGGATACGATGGCCTGTGTTGGTCTCATATCTCTTATCCGAACACTAGAGTTGCAGTTCTTAGAGCCACCACCATTGTTGGTTGTCGATTACCAGGATAAAATCCAGTGTCTTCGTCAAAGGCTTTCTGTTTTGGTAGCCCTTCTTGAGGAATCTGAGAAAGAGCTCAACGTTAGCCAGGCCCAGAAAGATCATGTTATTGCAAGAGCTAAAGACATAAGTTTGAGAGCTGAAGATGAGATTGAATCTGAAGTGATGGAGATCCTTTCCAATGGAGCTTCTCATCAAAGACTCCATCAAATCTTGCAACGTCTTGCAGAAGACACTGAAGGGCTTCTTATTCAGCAAAGAAACACTACAGAAATGTGGTCATATAATCCCCAATCAAACAAAGAGCACATCATACTTGTAGGAGCTTCAAAGCTGCAGCAGGATGATGCAATGGTAGGGGCTGGGCACGCCCAAGAATTGGAGAGGACGAAGGAGATGCTCTTTCAACGCTCCAATCAGGAACGACAAGTTATATCCATTGTCGGCATGGGAGGGATTGGCAAGACAACTATGGCCAAAAAAATCTATGATGATCCATCAATAAGATCTCACTTTGATGTTCTTGGTTGGGCAACCGTGTCTCAACACTATGATCTGCGGAGAATCCTCCACGACCTGTACTGTTCTGTGGTACAAATGACTGGAGAACAAACAAGCAGTGCTGACCTAGCAGACAAATTACGTCGGCGCCTGATAGGTCAAAGGTATCTACTTGTGGTGGATGACATATGGGGAAGCAAAGGATGGGATGATCTACAAGGATGCTTCCCAGATGATTCCAACGGTAGTCGAATATTGTTGACTACTAGACTCAAAGAGGTAGCAGATTACAGTGGATGTTCAGGTAAGTATGTTTGCAACTTGCCTTTCCTAAATTCAAATGAAAGTTGGGAACTTTTTTCCCAGAAGCTGGGAAGCATACAATTGCCTCCAGAAATTGAAGAAATTGGTAAGGGCATTGTGTATAATTGTGGAGGATTACCACTTGCTATTAGTGTAGCCGCAGGGCTTCTCTCCAAAACCAAAAAGTCAGTAGAAAATTGGAGGAGTATTGCGTCAGCAATGAATATTCCAATGACATCAGATCTTCATGACCAATGCTCAAACATACTCACCCTCAGTTACAACAACTTGCCTTACCATTTAAAAGCCTGTTTCTTATACTTTGGAGTCTTTCCTAAAGTTAGAAGAGAAATCCCCACAAAGGATCTTCTCAATTTATGGATTGCCGAGGGATTTGTTAGGGAAGATAGTGGTAGAAGTTTGGAAGAGGGTGCCATGGGTTACTTACAAGATCTAATTGACAGAAATCTAGTACTTATTAGCAAGTTAAGTTTCATTGGCGATATCAAGACATGTAGATTGCACGATTTATTATTTGACTTGTGCGTGAGAGAAGTAGAAAAAGAGAAGTTCGTGACTGCTTTTCATGATAGAAGTTTGACATTTGGATTCGGTGTCACGGGGCAGCGGTTGTCTTCTTATTTGTTTAGTTTTTTACTGAATAGCAAACCATTTTCTTTTATATTTGCGCTTTTATATATTTACCGAGTTTGGCGTTGGAATGTGCAAAGTGCAAACCGTTGGTTAACATTTCAAACAATGACTATTCGGCCCATATTCAGTGATGACAACTATAATTTCTACAAATCTCGTACCCTTTTATTCTTTTTTGGGGATCCTGGAGATATTGTGAGGCCTGTATCTTGGAGACAAAATGTGTCTTTCAAGATGATAAGGGTACTGGACCTAAGGACATTTTGCTTCGCTGAGACTGCAACTTTTGACATCTCGGATTTGATTCTCTTAAGGTACCTTGCTTTGAGTAGAATTAGGTATGTAAGGGTGCTGAAACATCACCACAACTTACAAACTTTAATTGTTAAGTTTCGAATGGCATGGCGTCCAGTGGAAACTGAGATTGATGAGGAGATTGGCAGTAAGTGGTTGGAAGGTCTATGGAAGTCTCAAAATTTGAGGTTTATCAAGTATCCCTATCTATTCCCAATAGATACTGATGATGTTCCAGTTCATTATATTTTGTGCACTCTTTATTGGGTGCCATATCTCCAGTGTACCAAAGAATTTGTTTTGAAAATTCCAAATGTTAAAGTGTTGGGGATTAGATGCTTTGAAAGATGTGCATTTCAAACCCAAACCTGGTGGGATAATCTTCACTACTTAACTAAGCTTGAGAAACTAAACGTCTTAGATTTCAACTCCGCACAAATCAAACTTGGAAGTATTAACTCCTTTCCACAAACCCTTAAGAAGTTGAGCATTACTGGAACACAACTCAGTTGGGAAGCTATTACAGTCATCAGTATGTTGCCAAATCTTGAATCGCTCAAACTTCTCGGAGCGTATAGGATGGGAAACAAGTGGAAAACTAGAGACGGTGGGTTCCCCAAATTGAAGTTTTTGCTCATCAATTCAGCAACATTGAGGAACTGGGAAACTGTGGGTGATCATTTTCCTGTCCTTCAACGCTTAGCATTGCATCACTGTCGCCACTTGGAAAAGATCCCCAAAGGCTTTGCAGACGTTACTACCTTGCAATTGATTGAGTTGAAAGATTGTTATCGTTCTCTTGTGGACTCAGCTAAGGACATTCAAGAAGAGCAGAGCTCATATGGAAATGATCAACTTGTTGTTCGTGACTATGACACTCCGAGTTGGTAGGGTTTGATCTTTGCTTTTATGTTATTCTCATTTCTTTTCATTGACAATATTTGCTTCTTACTCCTCACCGGAAAAAAAAATATTTGCTTCTTACTGAATATTAGGAGCTAGCACCAGTCGAATGAAGAAATTGAATGAAAATTAAAGCAGATCGAGCAATCAAGGAATTGAATTTGAAAGTGGAGGCCAGGCCAGGCTGTGATGTTTTTTCAATGTTTTCTATCTCTCTTGTTTTGTTTTGTTTTCATCTATAAAATTAAAGATATTAAACTCATATATATATATATATATCACATCATTTGTATTGAATATTTCATGGGATGTATTTTGTTTCCTACTATATTTCTCTTCAATTTTAGCTTTGATCATTTTCTACCCATCTAAATGCAGCTTTCAAAATTTTCAACCTATGTATATATATAATGCACTTTCCATTTTCCCCATTTACTTAACACATTTGCTTGCACCATTTTTTGTGTAAAAAATAATGTTAATATATTTTTTGGGTTCATTCTATTATTGTAATTAGTAAAGAAAAACTTTTGTCAAAGAAAACCCAACGCCAAAAGTATACCACGTAGAAAAGACCACTCTATTTTATCATAAGTTTTACCCATATCTAATTTTAGTGCCCCCAACCAACACTCCCACAGTGTTTCCTATTCAAATAATGACCCACCTCCGCAGCAATTAGAATATTATTAGTTATCAACTTGTTAGGGATAAAAGCACTCTGAGATTCTAAAATCACATCATCCAACAAGGGTTTCATCCTATTCGCAATCATTTTAGCCATAATTTTATAGACCACATGCATTACAAAGAGCAATAGGCCTAAGATCAAACACCAACTCAGGCTAATTCTTTTTTGGGATTAAAACAACATTACTTTCATTCAAGCCATCATGAAAGGAACCAGAATGCAAACTAAGCACAAAAGAAGAGACTTACGTTCCAACAACATCCCAAAAATGCAGATAAAAGTCCGGATTCATCCCATTAGGATCTGGGGACTTGTCTGGAAACATAGAAAAGAGAGTCGTTTTGACCTCCTCAACCTCAAAAGGCCGAAGGAGGGTCTCATTCTGCTGCTGAGAGATACAAGGCGGTATAGTACTAAAGAAGGAATCATCACAATAGGCATGCTATTAGATTTAAAGATATTCACAAAGTACTCCAGAATCACAGTATTCATATTAGCATTCCCAACTCAGTTCCCATTAGAATCTTTAATTCTAGAGAGAAGTTTTACGCTTACGGTTAGAGGCATCCCTATGAAAGAAATGATTTAATTAATAAGAAATGATGTTAAACAATCCATTGAGATGGAGGAAGTATATTTTTAACAGTACCTCACTGTTTTCATTATATTAGGTCCATTATATTATAATTACTAATTTTTTATAGTAATAAATTCAAATCAGAGAATTGGGGTTTGTAAAAAATTCCATGTCATCACCATTAACCTAGGACAACATGTAATTTATTATACGACGAATCTGGGAACTTCTGATCTGCAAATCTGCAAGTTGAGCATACTTGTACTGCGCATGCATTAATATTAATAAACCTGTCGTCGTTTGGCAAAGTTCAAATTCAAATAAGTGAATTGTATATATATTCATCAGCATATTCCAAGTTGATCACATTATTTGTACCTCCCAAAGTAATGTGCCAAATTTTAAGATTATTTAATTCTTTTAAATTCTTTAAATTATCTCACCAATTGTGCAGGATATTATTAATAAATAAGGCCGGCTTAGAGATTAGAGTAGGCAATAAAATACAATAAGAAAATATTAAAATATATTAATTGAAGTAGGTGTGGTGTGAGTACAGTTGAGATTGAAAATTATAAGTACAAATTCAGAAGTATTATATCAAAACAATTCTAGCTAAAGGTGTTGATTCTTGATGAAACAAAGCTAGAGAGAGCAAGAACTGATTAGATCGAGTGAATTGAATTGAAGGATACGATGGCCTGTGTTGGGCTCATCTCTCTTATCCGAACACTAGAGTTGCAGTTCTTAGAGCCAGGATTATTCTTGGTTGTTGATTACAAGGATGAAATCCAGTGTCTTCGTCAAAAGCTTTGTCATTTGAAAGCCCTTCTTGAGGAATCTGAGAAAAAGCTCAATGTTAGCCAGGTCGAGAAAGATGTTATTGCAAGAGTTAAAGACATAAGTTTCAGAGCAGAAGATGAGATTGAATCTGAAGTAATGGAGATCATTTCCAATGGAGCTTCTCATGAAAGACTCCACCAAATCTTGCAACGTCTTGCAGAAGACATTGAAGGGCTTATTGAGCAAAGAAACACTACCCAAATGCTGTCGTCATATAATCCCGGCCAATCAAACCAAGAGCACATCATAGCTGGAGGAGCTTCAAAGCTGCAGGATGATGCAATAATGGTAGGGCACGCCCAAGAATTGGAGAGGACGAAGGAGATGCTGCTTCAATGCTCCACTCAGGAACGACAAGTTATATCCATTGTCGGCATGGGAGGGATTGGCAAGACAACTATGGCAAAAAAAATCTATGATGATCCATCAATAAGATCTCGCTTTCATCTTCTTGGTTGGGCAACCGTCTCTCAAGACTATGATCTGCGGAGAATTCTCCAGGACCTGTGCGGTTGTGTTGCACAAATGACTGATAAAGAAATCAATGAGGTGAAAAGCACTGCTGAGCTAGCAAACAAAGTACGTCGGCGCCTGATGCGTCAAAGGTATCTTCTTGTGGTGGACGACATATGGGGCAGCAGAGGATGGGATGATCTACAAAGATGCTTCCCAGATGATTCCAACGGTAGTCGAATATTGTTGACTACTAGACTCAAAGAGGTAGCAGTTTACAGTGGATGTTCAGGTAAGTATGTTTGCAACTTGCCTTTCCTAAATTCAAATGAAAGTTGGATGCTGTTTTCCCAGAAGCTGGGAAGCATAAATTTGCCTCCAGAAATTGAAGAAATTGGTAAGCGCATTGTTAATAAATGCCGAGGATTACCACTTGCTATTACTGTAGCCGCAGGGCTTCTCTCCAAAACCAAAAGGTCAGTAGAAAATTGGCAGAGTATTGCCTCAGCAATGAATCTACCAATGACCTCAGATCTTCATGACCAATGCTCAACCATACTCACCCTCAGTTACAACAACTTGCCTTACCATTTAAAAGCTTGTTTCTTATACTTTGGAATCTTTCCTAAAGTTAGAAGAGAAATCCCCACAAAGGATCTTCTCAATTTATGGATTACCGAGGGATTTGTTATGGAAGATAGTGGTAGAAGTTTGGAAGAGGGTGCCATGAAATACTTACAAGATCTAATTGACAGAAATCTAGTGCTTATTAGCAAGCTAAGTTTCATTGGCAATATTAAGACATGTAGATTGCACGATTTGTTGTTTGACTTGTGCTTGAGAGAAGTAAAAAAAGAGAAGTTTGTGTCTGCTTTTCATCAAAGGAGTGAGAATGTTATTGAATTGGGTGACACCGAGCCGTTGTTTGAATATGCAAACCGTTGGTTAACATTTCGAACAACGTATATTCAGCCCAAATTCAGTGACAAGTATAATTTCCACAAATCTCGTACCCTTTTATTCTTTTTTGGTGTTTCTGGAGCTTCTGGGCTACCTGTATCTTGGAGACAAAATGTGTCTTTCAAGATGATAAGGGTACTGGACCTAGTGGAAATTAGCTTCGATGAGGCTCCAACCTTTGACATCTCGGATTTGATTCTCTTAAGGTACCTAGCTTTGGGTACAATTAAGTATGTAAGGGTGCTGAAACATCACCACAACTTACAAACTTTAATTGTTAAGTTTCCAAATTCATGCCGTATAGAGGAAATTGACAGTGATGAGGAGATTGGCAGTAAATGGTTGCAAGGTCTATGGAAGTCTCAAAGTTTGAGGTTTATCAAGTATCCATATCCATTCCCAATAGATACTGATGAAATTCCAGTTCAAGATACTTTACACACTCTTTACTGGGTGCCTTATCTCCGGTGCACAAAAGAATTTGTTTTGAAAATTCCAAATGTTAAAGTGTTGGGGATTAAATGCTCTGAAATACGTGCATTTCAAACCGAAACCTGGTGGGATAACCTTCACTACCTAACTAAGCTTGAGAAGCTAATAGTTGAAGATATCGAGTCTGAACAATTCGAACTTCAAAGTATTAATTCCTTTCCCCAAAGCCTTAAGGAGTTGAAAATTGTGGGAACAGAACTTGGTTGGGAAGCCATTACAATCATTAGTATGTTGCCAAATCTTGAATCGCTCAAACTTCTCCAAGCATATGAGATGGGAGAGGAGTGGGTAACTGGAGACGGTGGATTCCCCAAATTGAAGTTTTTGTACATCAGTGGGGCGAAATTGAAGAACTGGGAAACTATGAGTGATCATTTTCCTGTCCTTGAACGCTTAGCATTGCATCACTGCCACAACTTGGAAAAGATCCCCGAAGGCTTCACAGACATTACTACGTTACAATTGATTGAGTTGAAAGATTGTTTTCCTTCTCTTGTGGAGTCAGCTAAGGACATTCAAGAAGAGCAGAGCTCATATGGAAATGATCAACTTGTTGTTCGTGACTATGACACTCGGAGTTGGTAGGGTTTGATCTTTGCATTTATTTTAATCTCATTTCTTTTCACCCCCTTTTTTGACAATATTTGTTTCTTACAGAATATTAGGAGCACCAGTCCAATGAAGAATAGAATGAAAATTAAAGCAGATCGAGAAATCAAGGAATTTGAAGGTGGAGGTCAGGCTGTGATGATGTTTTTCAATGTTTTCTATCTCTCTTGTTTTCTGTTGTTTTCATCAGTAAAAGATATTAAACTCTTATCACATCATTTGTATTGAATATTTCATGGGATGTATTTTATTTCCTATTATATTTGTCTTCAATATAATTATTTTAGCTTTGATAATTTTCTACCCATCTAAATGCAGCTTTCAAAATTTTCAACCTATAATATAATAATGCACTTTCCATTTTCCCCATTTGCTTAACACATTTGCTTGCACCATTTTTTGTGTAAAAAATAATGTTAATATATTTTTTGAGTTTGATGGAAAATAATGTAATGGGTCTGGCCCAAGTAGATTAGAGAGTGCGAGCCCAAAGGGATGAGGAGAGGGGCTCGCATGCATGCCTATACATACGCTTGGACCTCGCAAACATGCATGCACGCGTGTATGCGAGGTGGTTGCATGCGTACAAGGTGGCGGCTGTGCGCACGGGTGGCGGTTGCATGCGTACAAGGTGGTGGCTGCGCGTACGGATGACGGTTGCATGCGTACATGGTGGCGGCTGCGCGTACGGATGATGGTTTCAAGCGTACAAGGTGGCGGTTGCGCGCACAAGTGGCGGTTGCATGCGTACAAGGTGGCGGTTGCGCGCACGGGTGGCGGTTGCATGCGTACAAGGTCGTGACTCCAAGTACGGATGGCGGTTGCATGCACGCTATTGGAGACTACGTACATGCATGCATGTAGGTGAAATGGCGGCTAGTGCATGCATGCTGCACACGAAAGGGCAGCTGACGGAGGGCGGTGCGTATAGGAGCAGGGATCCCGGGTGAGTGCGCAACAAAATCGGTCCCGTTCGAGAAGTTGGGGGTACGTGTGGAGAGGGGAAGACACGTGTATGGTGGGAGCTGGAGGCCAGTAGATGTCGTACACGTGGGTGGTATAAAAGGGGGGGCTGCGGTCAGTTTAGGACAAGGCAAGAAACACAAAAGACCTGGTAGCCTGGCGGTCTGAGTCTTCTCTCTCTCCTAATTGGTCCAAAGATCGATTCTGGCATTATGCATGTAATTCAGGTTTCTGTCTATCCGTTTATTTCCCTTTTCACCGTATACTTTCCTGTACTATTGTTTCTGGGCCTGCGACATTGGGCTTGTGCGCGTTTATGTGGGCCTCGCGCCCCACTGGCAATAATAGCTCTTTTATTCCGTTCTATATTTCCTATACCCGGTTTATGGTAGACCCGATTTCATTAAAACCATCATTGACACCGTCTGTGGAGACCGTTACAAAAAGCGTGCGTTCGTAGCTTTACCCATCCTCTTACATTCTATCACGCACTCAAGTCCTAGCGAGCACCCAGATGAACAGATCTCGAAGTAGACTTCCACACGGTACGCGCGGGCCTAGCGTGGGGTAGCGGATGCCGTCTCCCGGAGGGGCGCGGAATACATAAGTTCCTTTCCTAGATTTGGTACGCTTTCACATTTTCTTCTCTTTCTGGTTCTGTTTTTCATCCTCGTTATTAAGCATAATAAAGTTGTGTTGATCCTAACACGATGAATCTTTATTATCTACCCGCATGAACGCGAGCTCCGCTCCGACATGCGCATCATCACCTGGGCCTACAGGGATTGTAGCCCAGCGTACATTCTTGAAAAAAAAAAATCACACGGTGTGTGGGCTAGCATGAGGCAGCAGGCAGCCCCCACACTAGTATACCATCGTTGAAGGGGACGCGATCCCCAAGACGAGGGGTATACACACATCCACCTGGGCTTCCAGGGTATGGTACGCAGCCCAGCGCGCGCCGTACTCCCCCCCCCCCCCCCCCCTCCCAAAAAAAACAAACAAACAAACAAAAGGAGTATAGTGTGCGGTGCCAGCATGAGGCAACAAGCGGTCCACACACTAGTATGCCATAAACGATGAGCATATACATATCCACCTGGCCCTGCAGGGAAAGGTACGCAGCCCAGCGTGCAAGCCAAAAAAAAAAATGGGCTACTACGGGTGAACGTGGCACAGTCCCACAAAAACCCACACCTAATTTGCAGGCAATGACAGTAGAGGAACACAAATACAAGTATGAAAAACGAGTTGTATTATTGACCATGTAGCAAAAGCATAAAAGAAAAAAGCGAGGAGGGATCACATCAAAGCAAAAACAAAATAACAAACGCCGCGAGCGACTGAGACAAGCCCCCGGCTCACTCACGCGGTGCGGCGGATCCTTCTGCCGACCCAAAAAAACCAGCGTGTGGTGCTAGCATGAGGTAGCATGCAGCCCATCTACAGGTACACCCAGGTTAACAGGATGCGATCTCAAAGCCGAGGGCGTACACGTTTCCATTTAGGCCTGTAGCAGCCGACTTATTATCCATTCGGCTTCTTAGCGGTCAAAAGTATTTCTTTCTCGCTTCTTAGCGGTCGATGTGCACTGTCGTGCTTTTCAGCGGTCGACGTGCACTGTCGTGCTTTTCAGCGGTCGACTTATTACTACCCCGCTTCTTAGCGGTCAATGCGGTCGACGCATCCTATCCCATTTCGCAGCAATCTAGTAGTTTAAATTATGCGACTCAGCGTTCAATATGTGCCGCTCCTCAGTGGGCCGCTAGGATACCCTTCGCGGCATGGCGTCCCAGTAAGCCCACGCGAAGGGAAGGTGGCGAGTATTTCTATCTTTCTCTTGTAGGGAAGGGGGAGCTTCCAGGCCGGGAGTTGGAAGGGTCGAGGTGCGTTGAAGGTCAAGAGCATATATACTTTATTTACTGGTCAGAGACAACTAATGAAAGTGGGGCACTTGTAGGGGTGTAAACGAGCCGAGCCGAGCCCGAGCCTGGGTATGCTCATGCTCGAGCTCGAGTTTAGGTTAGAATTTGAGCTCAATTTTGATCTCGAATTTGACCTGTTTGATTTAAAATTTAAACTACTTTGTTTTATGACTTTTATCCATACATAATTATTAAACTATTTTAATTTTCCTCCCCTAATTATTATTTTTATATACTAAATATAATATAATTATATATATATATATATATATATATATATATATATATATATATATATATATATATATATATATATATATATATATATATATATATATTATACAATATATTATAAGGCTCGCGAGCGGCTCGTCGAGCCGCGAGCCTACAATACCTAAGCTCGGCTCGTGCTCGTTTAATCCACGAGCTGCTCGAGCTCGAGTCGAGCTCAATTTTGACCGAGTTCGAGCCGAGCGTTGACCGAACTGCTCACGAGCGACTCGTGAGCGGCTCGGCTCATTTACACCCCTAGGCACTTGAGATGGGGCCAGGATACCCAGGGTCAGGGCCCATTTTATAAGAAAAGTCTTGGCCCAAGTGGGGGTGGTGAATAATGGAGGTGACCGGGTAATGGGAGCTGGGTCGTACGGCGCCGTGAGAGACGAACTGATTCCACATCCTGATCTCTTTGGAGTGATCAGGAAAGCACTATTAGGCAGGGATGGTGTAGTAGGGATCATCGGTTGAGGTGGTTGTTGTAGAGGACCTCTTGCATTTGCCTCTGTCCCATGTAAAAGGAAGTCTCACCTTCGCGAACTATTCGGCTCTGACCCTCCAACGTCTCTCGCAACTAAACCTCTGCGAGAGGAGCCATAGCAACCCGACCACCCTGCGTGGTCACCCAGTATTGAAAGATCTGCACGGAAGGAGGACATGTAACTGACGAGGATCTTGAGCCTCCCGCCAATTAGCCATGGGGTCCATCATCGGCTGACCTGACATATGAGGGGATGCCAACCAAGAAGTAGGCATACATGACATGGCATGCCCATCCGCCACTCGCACAAAATCGTCAAAATCTCGCCAATCTAGAATGGCCGCCTTCATGGTAGTAGCGTGAAGGGCTTCCGGTTGTATGAGTCGCTCTTACAAAGCCTGGAATGCTTTCTCCAACCGACCATGCTCAGCCACCAATGTATCATGCGCCATGCGCAATTGCGTGTGATTCTGTTCCGATCGTGTTAAATCGGCTACCAACATCTCCCGTGCTCGTTCAGACTCGGTATACTCCTTGGTGGCCGCATCTAAATCGTTGCTGCAACCCAATAGCCTGCATAGTCACCTAAAAAAAAGGGGGTCAGGACCAGGCGATACGGGCAGTAAAGCCGGGTGGGAGCTGAGTGCATCCATGGAGCTGCTATCCATCCAAAACCGTTTGGAGGGAGTCACCATGTCATGCACACTTCGCCGAATGAATTCAATGTGGCTGGGCTTGTATGGTTGCAGAGCCCGAGCAGCGACATCGCCAAACCCCCGCGCGGCCAAGGGACCATGTGGCTCGTACTCTTCATGTCGTGAAGGGGGGTGAGGCGACGACGGCTCCTCGATCCTCACAGAAACTACGCAAGTAGCGATCAGAGTAGGTAGATCCATGTCCGCATCCATCATCGAGGAAGACCGACCACCATCCATGGTAGGATCTGGCAATGCACTGACCAGTAAATCTTCTCCATCTAGCAAGGCGGTTTGGCCGCCGACGCGGTACACACGGTACATCTGCAGGAAGAGAGACAAAGAGGCCGGTACGCTAACCTCGAGACATCTCGTAAGAAAGCAAGTAAGAAGAGAAGTTTGTGCACATTGGGGGTTAGCTGGCATGGAATGGCGTTATGGACGCAAGGGAATTTGGCTACTAGAGGGTGTAAAGGAAATTGGAGACCTGTTTGAATAGAATGGAAATGGACTGCCACCAAGAGAGGGCCCGGAAGCTCAGTCATGGTATTCGTGGCGCCCTGGATAATAATTTTTACCCCCTCACCCAACCATTCATCTAGAGACATCAACTCAACACTGGACAAACAAGATTGGATCCCGCGGGGAACGGAAGGATCCAAAATACAATAACTTGGGGAGGTCGGAGGGAACCCATCATCTACAAGATTAACAACAAGGGGTACCAACCTTTGGCTAGCGGTAGTGGCATTCAGCGTAGCATCGGTAAGTGCGGCATGAGTGGCAATTGCAGGCGTGGGTGCGCAGTCAGAGTGATCTAACAGCATTGCCTTGCGAGAACGGGGAGCAGAGACGGCGAAGGGATTTCAGCAGCTTTCGGCGGCATTGAGCAGATTGCGAGGGGCAACAGGCACGGTGGCGGTGGCGGCCGCGGTCGCGTCCTAGCGGACTGACCCGGCTGTGCCATGCGATGATGCGGCGAAAAGCGATCGAGATAACTCTTTGTAAGTGGGTGTTGCGGGGGTAGAAGTCGACAAGCGGACGGAGGCGACGCGGTCGCCGACGGTAGGGTAAACGTCATGGGTCCCCATAGTCGTGAAGGCATCGGGCGTGGAGGGAGCAATCGGGGGAGTGTTGGTCGTCGCGGCGGCACCTGTGGCGAGACCTTGATCGTGGGTGGAAGAAGAGGAGATGACAAGATACATGCTGTTGGCGGCAGTCAGCGAGGGTACAACAAAGGAAGCGGACGATAATGTTAGGGTGATCTCGAGTGCGCGGTTGACGTGGTGGGGATGCATAAGCGGCAGAGGAGACGGGGTTTTCGGGGGAGTGGTGGCGAAGAAGAAGGGAGCTATTGCGTTGGAGAGGGAATAGGAGTCGTAATTGGCCGAAAAGGAGGGAGGAAATGGATATTAAGGTCATTTAATTCCAGGGCTTATCATGGAATTTGGGCCTTGCTTAGTGGACTGGGTCTTACTTCTTTTAATCATTAACCAATGATTAATAGAAGTGGGGGACTTATGATGGAAAATAATGTAATGGGTCTGGCCCAAGTAGATTAGAGAGTGTGAGCCCAAAGGGATGAGGAGGGGGGCTCACACGCATGGGCTCGCATGCATGCCTATACGTATGCTTGGACCTCGCAAACATGCATGCACGCGTGTATGCGAGGTGGTTGCATGCGTACAAGGTGGCGGCTGTGCGCACGGGTGGCGGTTGCATGCGTACAAGGTGGTGGCTGCGCGTACGGATGACGGTTGCATGCGTACAAGGTGGCGGCTGCGCGTACGGATGACGGTTGCATGCGTACAAGGTGGCGGTTGCGCGCACGGGTGGCGGTTGCATGCGTACAAGGTGGTGGCTCCAAGTACGGATGGCTCCAAGTACGGATGGCGGTTGCATGCACGCTGTTGGAGACTACGTACATGCATGCATGTAGGTGGAATGGCGGCTAGTGCATGCATGCTGCACACGGAAGGGCAGTTGACGGAGGGCGGTGCGTATAGGAGCAGGGATCCCGGGAGAGTGCTCGACAAAATCGGTCCCGTTCGAGAAGTTGGGGGTACGTGTGGAGAGGGGAGGACACGTGTATGGTGGGAGCTGGAGGCCAGTAGATGTCGTACACGTGGGTGGTATGCGGAAGTCCTGAGAGGGTATAAAAGGGGGGGGGGGGGGGGGGCTGCGATCAGTTTAGGACAGGGCAAGAAACACAAAAGACTTGGTAGCCTGGCGGTCTAAGTCTTCTCTCTCTCTTAATTGGTCCAAAGATCGATTCTGGCATTATGCATGTAATTCAGGTTTCTGTCTATCCGTTTATTTCCCTTTTCACCGTATACTTTCCTGTACTATTGTTTCTGGGCCTGCGACATTGGGCTTGTGCGCGTTTATGTGGGCCTCGCGCCCCACTGGCAATAATAGCTCTATTATTCCATTCTATATTTCCTATACCCGATTTCATTAAACCATCAGAGTTAATTCTTTTTTTTTTTTGAGTTTTTTTTTTTAGTTAATTCTATTATTCTAAAGTGTAATTAGTAAAGAAAAATTTTTGTCAAAGTTTTTTTTGTTCTTGAGGAAATTTTTGTCAAAGTTAATCCTCCGCGGAAATATTAATTATAAGCGGACTTAGCAGCTACATGTTTGAAAATTTGAGGCAGTAATAAGTATGATATGCAAGAAATTGAAATGTGTAAATTAAAGTAAATTAAATGACACAGAATATATAGGGTTAGAAAATGGTGTAATTCTTATATGCCACTCTTCTCCTATCCATCAAGAGAAATTTCACTAGTAATTTTGTTCATCATACACATAAATCAAAAAGTGAAAACCAACTTGTGCTTTGATCGGAAAGCTAAGCCAATAAAACAAGGAAAAGAGAATGGTTAGACCCTCAATAGAAGCAGAATATATATAAATTGGGGTAAGAATATATTTAGAAATTCAAAGTTCTGGTTTACATATCAAGTATCAATGCGGTGTGGGTACATGTCTCTGGATATCCTCTGATTCTTCAATTGGTGCCTTGAACACTCCACCATTGAAGGGCCTCCGGGTTTCAAGTGGCTTGATCTTCAAAAAAGGGCTTGTATATATAGCTTGTTCTTCTTGAAGGGCCTCCGGGTTCAAATGGTTTGATCTTCAATGGAGGTTTGGATCAATAGGCATAGGCATGATCATTATGATCATTATGGAGGAGAGACTTCTACTTTCAGTATCACATTTTTATTGTGATCCTGAATAATATTTTTCTAGATGTTTACATCACTTTTCCTAGGATGTGTGAGATTACATAGAAATGAGAGCTCCTATTTATAGCTGTAGGATAGAGAGTTTTGATAAGCTCAAACTCTTTTGATATTATCTAATTAACAAATTAGATAATATCAATATTATCCAAAATATTTCAAATATATTCAAATATACTAATATTGATAAATAATCAATATTTATCAAAATTTAAGTGTACAATAGATGTCTCGGCTGAGATAACATCGTTACTTGCTCTCCTTCGAGAACTTGGTCTCAATGTACTAAAATCTTCCTGACTCTTAGCTTGTGTGATAATCTTGATGTTCATATTTGTGTGTAAATCTTTTTTTTTTAATGCCCGAATAGGGGTGTTAGCGAACAGAGCTTTCGGCAAACTACTCGTGTTCGTGTTCGGTAAGCGTTCGTTTATGTTCGTTTGTTAATGTAAACGAACATTAACAAACAAAATTTAGAGCTCGGTTAATAAACGAACAGAGCTTGAACAGTTCTAAGCTCGTTTGCTAAGAGATCGTGAACAAGCTCGTTTGTGTTTGTTTACTAATGTTCGTGAACAAGTTCGTTTATGTTCGTTTAATAATGTTCGTGAACAAGCTCGTTTGTGTTCGTTTAATAATGTTCGCGAACATGTTCACAAACATATATATTATATTATATTATATTAGTTATGTAGTTGTGTTGTTTGTTTGATTATTGTTCGTGAACGTAGATTATTTATTGTTCACGAACGAATTGTGATCATGAACATGTGCAGGTTTTTGTTTATTAAGTGTTCATGAACGTAAATAAATATGTTCGTGAACATGCTTGTTAATGAACATATTTGTGAACGTGTTTGTTAACGTTAACGAACACGTTTGTGAACGTGTTCACGAACATTAACAAACACGTTCGCGAACATGTTCGTTAACGTTAACGAACACGTTCGTGAACGTGTTCGCGAACGTTAACGAACACTAACAAACGCTTAACAAACGAACACGAACAAGATTTTCAAAAACCTTAACAAACGAACACGAACACTCCAAATTCCTTAACAAACGAACACGAACAACCTCTGTTCGTTTATGTTCGGTTCGTTAACAGCCCTATGCCCGAACGAAACATGTAGAAATAGATTACTATTTTTCTCGTGAGAAAGTAACATCAACAGAACAAGTATATTACATCTTTATAAAGGATCAACTGATAGACATCATCATCAAACCACTAACCACAACTAGATTCAATGTTCTAAAGGACAAGTTGGATCAATGTTCTCTTCAAAGAACATTAAGTTTGAGGAGGCGTATTATGACTATGTATTCTATTTACATTAGAATTCATTCTCCCTCTCACTATACATTAGGACTAATAATCTTTGTACTCTTATAAATACATCTCTTCATGTATTTTGTAAATTAGATTTATCTATATAAAATTTTCTCATAACTATTATTATTCCCATAAGATTATATTATTTATCATGAAAAAATGAGAAAAAGCATCATCGTCCTAGTGTTGAACGGTGGATCTTGCTAATTTTAAAGCTCTGCAGCAATGAGGCAATGACGTGAGATGCAAATGGATGGTGATACGTCACTACCATCAATAGTTTTTTTTTTTGGGAAAATGTCACTTTTCCCCCCTAAGTTATATACTTATAGCCATTTTCCCCCTCAATTATTTAGCTAAGCACATTAGCCTCCTCAATTATTCTAAAAGTGGTGATTTTTTCCCCTGATATATTAAATTGACATTTCTACCCTTAAAGTAAACATTTTATTTATTTTACTTCTCCAACAAATTATCACGTATACGTAGGGATGACCACGGTTCAGATCAAACTGAACCGGACACTATAGCAATTGAATTAAAAGTTTCCGGTTATGATTCAGATCCAGAACCTAATATTTGGATTTCAATTTATTAAAATTATGAATAAAAAAATTGGATCTTGAACCGTGAATCGGCGGTTCTGGATCCGGTTCGCAATTTTGAACCGTCTTTATTTTAAAATTTTATTTTTTATTTTAAATAGTCTAAATTCAACAATAAATATATTTTATTTTTTCAGTTGGGTACATGAATCGTCCGTTCCGGTTCGCGATTTTAATAAACTCTAAATATTGAGTTTCGATTCTAAATTGTAATTGGAATATTTCGGTTTGGTTGCTATAGTGTATGTTTGGTTTGAACCAAATTATTGTCATAATTTGTTGGAGAAGGAAAATAAATGAAATATTTATTTTAAATATTTATTTTAAGGGTAAATATGTCCATTTAACATTTCAGGGGGAAAAACAGCCACTTGAATAATTCAGGGGGAGAAAGTGCTATAAGTATATGACTTAGGGGGAAGAAGTACCATTTTCCTTTTTTTTTTTTTTTTTTTTTTTTTTCCACACATTTTATCATTGATCCTTGTGCTTAGTGTTGAAAATTGCAAAAAAAGTTAATTATCTAATTAGAAAATATCATCTAAAGAGGGGAAGATGGGAGGGGTGGATGGAGAGCATTAATTATATTTTAAATCCTAAAAATTATCTGTCCTACTATGTAGGGTATTATTAATAAACAAGGCCGGCAGACAATACAATAAAATAAAATAACAAAATACTAAAATACAATGGCTGAAGTAAGACTGAGACAATAGAGCAGACTACATGTAATTAATTATACGAGGAATTTGGGAACCTCTACAAGTTGCATGTGCCAAGTTGAGCATACTTGTACCGTGCATTCATTAATAATATTAATCAACCTGTTGTTGGAAAAGTTCAAATATTATTATGGAATTTGATAAATAGCAGTTAGTTGATTGGGATAGTAAATTTGACTAATTGATAACATTAGTTGATTGTAGAAAAATGTTTATTAAATTAATTGTTAGTTGATAGCTGATAACTTGTAAAATAATTTTTTCAAAAACTTAATTGAAAAAGCTATTTTAAGCAATTTTTTAAATTTTAATATTTTGGAGCAATAAATTATTACAAAAAGTTAATTAATCAAACAAGTCAAACAGTTTTTGAAAGTAATGAATTCAAATAAGGGAATTGGATATTCTTAGCGTATTCCTAGTTGATCACATTATTAGTACCTCCCAAAGTAATTTGACAAATTTTATTTAACTTTTAAATTCTATAAATTATCTCTCCAATTGTGACTTTGTGAGGATAATTAAGGCCGGCTTAGGGAGTTGACTAGGCAATAAAATATAATAAGACAATATTAAAATATATTGATTGAAGTAGGAGCGGTGTGAGTTGAGATTGAAAATTATGGGGGTTTGGTAAATTAGTTGTTAGTTGATACCTGATAATATGTAAACTGATTTTTTTCAAAAAGTTACTTTGAACAACTTTTTAAATTTTAGCATTTTGAAATAATAAATTGTTACAAAAAGTTAATTAATCAAACAATCATATTGATTGTTTAATCAAGTCAAATAGCTAATAATGGTTAAATAAGCTAAAATTAATTAATAGGCTAACTAATTTACCAAATAGAGCGTATATCCAAAAAAAAAAAAATTTGCTAAGATCAGAGAAAGCTAGAGAGCAAGAACATTAGAGTGAATTGAAGGATGGCCTGTGTTGGTCTCATCTCTCTTATCCGAACACTAGAGTTGCAGTTCTTACTTTAGGGGCCAATTTTACCTTTTTTTCTTGTCTGAGTAATTTTTGAAAGTAATAAATTCAAATAAGTGAATTGGATGTCAAGCACGTTGTGCTTAGATGTCATGTAGTAACTCTCCCATAAGAAAGATCATGACAATTGTGTCACTATTACTCAAAAAAAAAAATAAAAAATGAATTGGATATTCTTAGCATATTCCAAGTTGATCACATTATTAGTACCTTCCGGAGTAATTTGACAAATTTTAAGATTATTTAACTCTTTTAAATTCTATAAAGGGGAAATTGTAATTTATGACTCTCCATAATATATCAATAATCAATATAATTTTTGAAGATAAAATTACACTTTTGATCCTATGACTATAGGGGGCATTTTAATTTCGGTCCGTGACTTTTAAAACTAACACTTTAGTCCTTTAACTACGTTTTTTTAGCAGATTTGGTCCTCCCGGCCAAATGTTGCCGGAAAAACATAATTCCTTTAAAAAAATTTATTCATGGGGGCAAAATGGTCATTTTAAGCCATTTTTTTTAATTTAAAAAAGAGCCATTTCTTCTTCTTGATGCGCTTGCGGAAACGGAAACATGGATACCAACGGCGGCGACAATATCCAACAAATTTGCGAGTTCAACCAATGCTTGAACCGCCAACCTCCGTCGCTCCGCCACCTGAGAGTCGTACATGGATACCAACGGCGGAATAACGTAGAGCTCTGCCATGGATTTCCGCCGCTTCAAGTCCTGCTGCGCCACCATCTTAATCTCCATCATCGCCGCCTTCTTCTCTTCCCAGCTCCCGAAGTGAAGTTTCTTCATGGACTTCTGCAAAACCGCCCAACCGCCACCGCTCTATGCTTTCCTCTCTATAACTACTCCCTCCTCTCTATGCTTTCCTCTCTATGACCAATTTGTCCCCATTATTAAATAATTAAAAATGTTTTACGTTTTTCCTGCAACTTTTCCCCGGTGATTTGGCCGGGTGGACCAAATCTGCTAAAATAAGCATAGTTAAAGGACTAAATTGTTAGTTCTAAAAGTCACGGACCGAAATTAATGCACTCCCTATAGTCATAGGACCAAAAGTGTAATTTTTTCCATTCCTGAATTATTAAGTGTAAATGTTGTCCCTCAATTTTCAAAACAGCACATATAGTGCCCTCCCGTAGTACATGTATGTTGTCATTCATTTTTCAAAACGGTACATAAATTGCCCCTCCCGTACGGTACGAAAGAGACAATATATATACCGTTTTGAAGAGCAACATTTACACTATTAATAATTTAGGAGTGACATTGATAATGGGCATATTATGAAGATGCATAAATTACAATTTTCCCTTCTATACGTTATCTCTCCAATTGTGACTTTGTGAGGATAAGGCCGGCTTAGGGAGTTGACTAGCTAGGCAATAAAATAAAATAAGAAAATATTAAAATATATTGATTGAAGTAGGAGCGGTGTGAGTTTTGAGATTGAAAATTATAAGTTCAAATTCAGAAGTATTATATGCAAAACAATTCTAGCTAAAAGTGTTGATTCTTGATAACACAAATCTAGAGAGAGCAAGAAAACATTAGAGTGAATTGAAGGATGGCCTATGTTGGTCTCACCTCTCTTATCCGAACAGTAGAGTTGCAGTTCTTAGAGCCACGACCAATCTTGGTTGTTGATTACAAGGATGAAATCCAGCGTCTTCATCAAAGGCTTTCTGTTTTGGTAGCCCTTCTTGAGGAATCTGAGAAAAAGCTCAATGTTAGCCAGGCCGAGAAAGATGTTATTGCAAGAGTTAAAGACATAAGTTTCAGAGCTGAAGATGATATTGAATCTGAAGTAATGGAGATCCTTTCCAATGGAGCTTCTCATCAAAGACTCCACCAAATCTTGCGACGTCTTGCAGAACACACTGAAGGGCTTATTCAGCAAAGAAACACTACCCAAATGTGGTGGTCATATAATCCCCAATCAAAGCTGCAGCAGGATGATGCAATAATGGTAGGGCACGCCCAAGAATTTGAGAGTATAAAGGAGATTCTCCTTCAACACTCCACTCAGGAACGACAAGTTATATCCATTATTGGCATGGGAGGCATTGGCAAGACAACTATGGCCAAAAAAATCTACGATGATCCATCAATAAGAGCTCACTTTGATGTTCTTGGTTGGGCAACCGTGTCTCAACACTATGATCTGTGGAGAATTCGCTACGACTTGTGCCGTTCTGTGGTACAAATGACTGATGAAGAAATTAGTAGTGTTGACCTGCTTGCAGACAAATTACGTCGGCGCCTGATGGGTCAAAGGTATCTTCTTGTCGTGGATGACATATGGGGCAGCAAAGGATGGGATGATCTACAAAGATGCTTCCCAGATGATTCCAACGGTAGTCGCATATTGTTGACTACTAGACTCAAAGAGATAGCAGATTACAGTGGATGTTCAGGTAACTATGTTTTCAACTTGCCTTTCCTAAATTCAAATGAAAGTTGGGAACTGTTTTCCCAGAAGCTGGGAAGCATAAATTTGCCTCCAGAAATTGAAGAAATTGGTAAGCGCATTGTTAATAAATGCCGAGGATTACCACTTGCTATTACTGTAGCCGCAGGGCTTCTCTCCAAAACCAAAAGGTCAGTAGAAAATTGGCAGAGTATTGCCTCAGCAATGAATCTACCAATGACCTCAGATCTTCATGACCAATGCTCAACCATACTCACCCTCAGTTACAACAACTTGCCTTACCATTTAAAAGCTTGTTTCTTATACTTTGGAGTCTTTCCTAAAGTTAGACGAGAAATCCCCACAAAGGATCTTCTCAATTTATGGATTGCAGAGGGATTTGTTAGGGAAGATAGTGGTAGAAGTTTGGAAGAGGGTGCCATGAGTTACTTACATGATCTAATTGACAGAAATCTAGTACTTATTGGCAAGTTAAGTTTCACTGGTAATATCAAGACATGTAGATTGCACGATTTGTTATCTGACTTGTGCTTGAGAGAAATAGAAAAAGAGAAGTTCGTCACTGCTTTTCTTGAAAGAAGGTTGAAAGTTGGATTGGGTGACAACGGGCTGCCATTGTCTTTTTATATTTTTAGTTTTTTTTTACTTTTATTTTTTAGCAGTAAAAACCAAACAATTTTCTGTTACACATATGCTTTTATATATTTGCGGAGTTTTGCGTTGGAATATGCAAAGTGCAAACCGTTGGTTAACATTTCAAACAATGAGTATTGTGTCCAAATTCAGTGACAACTATAAGTTTCATAAATCTCGTACCCTTTTATTCTTTTTTGGTGATTCTGGATATTTAGGGAGGATATTTTGGATACAAAATGTGTCTTTGAAGATGATAAGGGTACTGGATCTAAGGACAATTTGCTTTGCTAAGGCTCCAACTTTTGACATCTCGGATTTGATTCTCTTAAGGTACCTAGCTTTGAGTAGAATTAGGTGTGTAAGGGTGCTGAAACATCACCGCAGTTTACAAACTTTAATTGTTAAGCTTCGAAATTCAGAGCAAATTGACAGTGATGATGAGGAGATTGGCAGTAAATGGTTGCAAGGTCTATGGAAGTCTCAAAATTTGAGGTTTATCAAGTATCCCTATCCATTCCCAATAGATACTGATGAGATTCCAGTTCATGATATTTTGCACACTCTTTATTGGGTGCCTTATCTCCAGTGCACCAAAGAATTTGTTTTGAAGATTCCAAATGTTAAAGTGTTGGGGATTAGATGCAATGAAACACGTGCATTTCAAACTGAAACCTAGTGGGATAATCTTCACTACTTAACTAAGCTTGAGAAACTAACAGTTGAAGATATCAACTCCGAACCAATCAAACTTAGAAGTGATGTTAACTTCTTTCCACAAAGCCTTAAGAAGTTGATAATTTGGAAAACACAACTCAATTGGGAAGCTATTACAGTCATCGGTATGTTGCCAAATCTTGAATCGCTCAAACTTCTCCTAGCATATAAGATGGGAGAGGAGTGGGAAACTAGAGGCGGTGGGTTCCCCAAATTGAAGTTTTTGTTCATCAGTCGGACGAAATTGAAGATCTGGGAAACTGTGAGTGAACATTTTCCTGTCCTTCAACGCTTAGCATTGCGTCACTGCAACGACTTGGAAAAGATCCCCGAAGGCTTTGCAGACATTACTACATTGCAGTTGATTGAGTTGAAATATTGTTGTTTTTCTCTTGTGGACTTAGCTAAGGACATTCAAAAAGAGCGGAGCTTATATGGAGATGATCAACTTGTTGTTCGTTCGTGACTACACTTTGTGGAGTTGGTAGGGTTTGATTTTTGCATTTATTTTGTTGAGTTTGTCTCATATATGGATTAGGAATAAGTGTTTGTCTCATACTAGAAGTAGGAGTGAAACGGGTAGATCTTGGCATGAGTCACGGCTGGTATGGATTGGGCTTGTCATGAGACATGGACCTGGTATGAGCCGCGCTTGGCAAGAGTCACGGCTGGTATGGGCGGACGCTTCAGGATGAAGCGGTTCATGAACATGCACTGGGAACGTTTGATGCTGCGTTGTGCGTGTTGCTAACTAGTGGCGATAGCTGGTTAGTGGAGCATTGGGCAAGGCACACGGGTTCAGTGTGACTTTGCAGGGGCGCTGTTGTGTGGATACCAGGAAAGGACATGGACCTGGTATGGGCCAGATGCTGGAGGTCAGTTAAACGAGACAGTAAGCATGAGTCGCGGCTGGTATAACAGGTCGACGGCTGAGGGGCGAATAGCTTGGGACAAAGCGGTTCGTGTACATGCTGGAAAACGTTTGATGCTGCGTGGTGCATATGGCTGGCTAGTTGGGATGAACATGGTTGTTCCTACCCATGTGTATATGTGAGATAAGTTTTTTTCTCCTATGGGGCATAATTGTGAAGGTGGAGATGGTGAGATAAGTCTTTTCTCCTAAGGGACATATTTGCTAAGGTGGAGATTTGTTGAGTTATCTTTTTCTCCTAAAGGACATATTTGCGAAGGTGGAGAAGTCTTTTCTCCTAAAGGGCATATATGTGAAGGTGGAGATGATGAGATAAGTCTTTTCTCCTAAAGAGCATATTCGTCAAGGTGGAGATTTGTTGAGTTATCTTTTCTCCTAAAGAACATATTCGCCAAGGTAGAGATTGTTGAGTTTGTCTCATATATGGATTAGGAATAAGTGTTTGTCTCATACTAGAAGTAAGAGTGAAACGGGTAGACCTATTGTATAGGGATTGGATGCCTATAAATATATTGGTTGTATCCCTAAGGGCGTTTGGTTGGAGGGAGGGAATTATGTGGGAAAGTAATTATAATTCTATGGGAGTTGAATTACTGGGAATAAAGTGGGAATTTAAATTCCAGTGTTTGGTTGACAGGAATAAAATTACTGGGAATTTCAATTTCTATGTTTGGTATACATGGGAATTGAAAGGGAATAAGTAGTATAAAGTCAAAAATGTCCATTATTGTTGTTAGACATTAATTTTAGGTTAAAAAAGGAAGGGGTAATTTTGACTCATCACTATCTGTTTTTCCCAGGAATTAAAATACCAGGGGGGGACATGGGATTTTAATTCCATGAAAATGGGGGAATTGCAATTCCATGGAATTGCAATTCCCTTCAACCAAACTACGGAATTTAATGGTCTTTGGAATTAGGTGGGAATTAAGTGGGAAGGGAATTTAAAATCCCTCCAACCAAACGCCCTGGGGTTGTGTCACCACTATCACTATCACTATGAATATAAGAATCGTTTCACTCCCGTGGATGTAGGCACATTGCCGAACCACGTAAATCTTGTCTTCTTTACCCTTTACTGCCATTATTTTTGTTTCTTGTTTTTGTTAATCTCAACATATTTTAATCTCATTTCTTTTCACCCCTTTTTGACAATATTTGTTTCTTACAGAATATTAGGAGCACTAGTCCAATGAAGAAATCGAAAAAATTAAAGCAGATCGAGCAATCAAGGAATTTGAAGGTGGAGGCAAGGCTGTACGTGATGTTTTTCAATGTTTTCTATCTCACTTGTTTTGTTTTGTTTTGTTTTCATCCGTAAAAGATATTAAACTCATATCACATCATTTGTATTGAATATTTCATGAATGCATTTTGTTTCCTATTATATTTGTCTTCAATTATTTTAGCTTTGATCATTTTCTACCCATTTAAATGCAGCTTTCAAAATTTTCAACCTATATGTATATAATGCACTTTCCATTTTCCCATTTACTTAACACATTTGCTTGCACCATTTTTTGTGTAAACAATAATGTTAATATATCTTTTGGGTTAATTCTATTATTATAATCACTGTTGCAAAAATCCCGCATAGTCATTGATTAATCGGCACTGGCAAGTCGCCTAGCGTATTACCATAATCGGTGGTCTAGGCGGCCGCCTAGGCGTTGATCACCTAGGCTCCTTGGTACCGACTAGGTCTCCTAGGTACCGACTAGGTAGCCTAGTCGGCCAATAAATTATTGTTCCATTCTTTTTTAAATTGGTCGTTTAATTTCACTCAAAACGACATTGTTTTGAGCGAAATAACTTTATATTGTTCAAACTCTAGATGTTTAAACTCAAAACTCTAGGTCGCCTAGGTTGCCACTCTTCTCCTATCCGTCAAGAGAAATTTCACTAGTAACTTTGTTCATCATACACATTAAAAGTGAAAACAAACTTGTGCTTTGATAAGAAAGCTAAGCCAACAAAGCAAGGAAAAGACATTGGTTAGACCCTAAATTATAGAAGCAAAATACAAAGCTGATAGATGTCTCGGCTGAGTTAACATGGTTAGTTGCACTCTTTCAAGAACTTGGTCTCAGTGTACTAAAAGCATCCTAACTCTGGTGTGATAATCTTGATGTTCATATTTTTGTGCAAATCTTTTTTTTTTTTCATGCCCGAACGAAACATGTAGAAATAAATTACCATTTTGCTCGTGAGAAAGTACATCAAAAGAACAAGTATATTACACCTCTATAAATTAAAAGATCAACTGGCGACATCATCACCAAACCACTCACCACAACTAGATTTTATGTTCTAAAGGACAAGCTCGATCAATGTTCTCTATCTCTTTAGAGAACATTAAGTTTGAGCAGGCGTAGTATGACTATGTATTCTATTCACATTAGAATTTATTCTCCCTCTCACTATACATTAGGACTAATAATCCTTGTACTCTTATAAATACATCTCTTCCTGTATTTTGTAAATTAAATTTATCAAAAATTGATTTTTTTTTTGCTAAATGGACATTTAGTGACGGCATATTTTCGTCGCTAAATACGTTGCTAATTTTCCGATAAACTTTGGCGCAACAATTAGCGATGGATTTGTGACAGATTAGTGAGGAATTTTTTGCGGGCTAACTCCATAATTTTATTTGATACAGATTAGCGACGGAATTAAAATTTCGTTCGCTAAATATAGCGATTCTTTAGAATTTAGCAATGGATTTCAGAATCCGATGCTATAAAGCGACAAATTTTGATTTCCCTTTCTAAATTTTCAAGCCAAAACTTTTTAAAACAATTTAGAGATGGATTAAAAATCTGTCGCTAAATATACCGATTCAATAATCCGTCGCCCAAAAAAAAAATAACAGCATTATATATTTAGTGACGGATTAAAAAATCCGGCGCTAAATATTTTACAAAATTCGGCTTGTAAATTTAGCGACGGAAATCAGAATCCGTCACTATATAGGTACGGATTTTGAAATCCATCACTAAATTCTTTTTTAAAAAATCGCAACTCACGCCTCTCAGCCCTAATTCCCTCTTAGGCCTCACCCTCATTCGTCTCAGTCTCAGGCCTCTACAGTTTGCCGTCGCCTATCGCCGACGGAGCATTATGCCCTGGACTTGTGTCCATCCTGTACATGGTGGACACGCTGTACATTCATAATTTCTATATTGTAGATTCATAATTTCTATACTGTAGATTCATAATTTTTATACTGTAAATTCATAAAATTTATAATGTAGATTCATAATTTCTATACTGCACATTCATAATTTCTGTATTGTTACGTGAACCATATTAAAATTTGCCCACATTTATACTTGATTAGTAATGAATATTCAAACAAACTTATGATATTGTGTACTCAATTACATGCCCATTACAGAGAAAAATAAAGAGAGAAATATATAACATCATGTAAGGACAAATGAAATAATTAACATCTTCGATCACCGGTACCTTTGCGTCTTACTAAATCTCAACATCCGGGGGGCGCTCCTAATGTTTGTCAGAAACAAATATTGTAAATAAAATAAAATAAACGAAAAAACTAGAAATTAAAGATATGAGATCAAACCTGAATATGTATCATAGTCACGAACAATAAGCTCATCGTATCCATATAAGTTCTCTTGTTCATCACGAATTTGCCGGGCTGACTCCACAAGAGAAGGAGTGCAAGCTTTTAAATCAATCAATTGCAATGTCAAAACATCTACAAAACCCATAGGGATCTCTTCTAAATCATAGCAATTGTGCAAGGCTAGTCGCTCAAGGACAGGAAAATGATCGCCCGTACTACTCCAATACTTCAATTCTGCACAATGAATGAATAAAAACTTCAACTTGAGAAACCCGCCATCAATGATTTCCCACTTTTCTCCCATGCACTCTGCACGGATAAGTTTGAGCACTTCAAGATTTGGCAACATGCTAAAGGCGTTAATAGCTTCCCACTGCAGTAGTACTCTAATAAGTGTTAACTTCTTAAGTTGTTGTGGGAAAGTACTAATAATACTTGGAAGTGGGCTTGTTGAACACCAATAACTACAAACTTTTAGTTTCTTAAGCTTAGCTAAATAGCAAAGATTTTCCCACCAAGTTTGGACTTGAAATTCAGACTCTTCAACACTACATCTAATTGCTATCACTTGAACATTTGGAATCCTCAAAACAAATTGCTTCGTACATTGAAAATCAGGCAACCAATAAAGAGTTTGCAAATTTTCTTGAACAACATCCTCATCAATATTCGGGTTTGGGAATTGAAAGGGACACTTGATGTACCTTAGGCTTTGAGACTTCCAAACACCATGCAACCACTCTCTGCCCGCATCATCTTGAGAGCCATCAACATTGGGATCTTCTACAATTAATGTTTGTAGGTTACAATGATGTTTTATAGCTCCTACATACTTAAACGAACGCAAACGTAAGTATCGTAGAAGAATTAGATCTTCAATGTCAATGATTGGTACCATGATGAACATAATTAAACTTAGATCCAGAACCCTTATCCTTTTGAAAGAATTACACAAAGTCCATGGAGTTATAAAAGGACCATAAAAGAAAAGGGTTCGATATTTGTGGAAAGTATACTTTTCACAATTAAAGTTGGGCAAGAAAGACGACCATGATTGAAATCTTAACCAACGATTGCCATTTTCATCATAACACTTTGGTTGGGTTTCATCTAACTGAACACTCTCAATCTCTTCATAAATAACAGACAAAAGCTTCTCATCTTTAGCTTCTCTCAAGCACAAGTCATATAACAAATCATGCATTCTGCATGTCTTAATGTTGCCCAGCAAACTTAGCTCACTAATAAGCACTAAGTTTCTGCCAATTAGATCTTGTAGATAGTCACTCCCAACTTCTTCCAAGTCTCTTTGGCTATCCACTTTAATAAATCCCTCTGCCATCCATAACTTGATAAGATCTTTTGTTGGGATTTCATAATCTTCTGGAAAAACACTAAAGTATAAAAAGCAAGATTTTAAATGGTAAGGTAAGTCGTTGTAACTCAAAGTGAGTATCTTTGAACATTGTTCATGAAGAGTTGAAGTGGCAGATAAATTTATTGCAGATGCAACACTTTCCCAATTTTCTGGTGATTTAATGGTCTTTGATAGAAGCCCTGCAACTATAACAATAGCAATAGGCAACCCTTGGCATTTATGAATAATGCGCTTCCCAATTTTTTCGAGTTCTACCGGCAAGGTTTCCTCGTTGGAAACTTTAGAGTAAAATAACTTCCAACTTTCATCCAAATTTAAAAATGGCAAGGTACAAATATACTTACTTAAACCAGCATAGTGTGCCACCTCCTTGAGTCGAGTTGTCAACAATATTCGACTACCATTGGAATCATCTGGAAAACATCTATGGACATCATCCCAAACTTTAGTGTCCCATACGTCATCCATTACAAGTAGATACCTTTGACCCATTAGACATTGGCGTAGTTTGTTTGCTAGGTCAACGGTGTCTACCTTGCTAATTTCATCATTAGTCATTTGTGCAATAGAATGACAAAGATGATGGAGAATCTTTCTCAAATTATGATCTTGAGACACTGTTGTCCAACCATGAAGGTCAAAATGGGATCTAATTGACAGATCATCATAGATTATTTTGGCGAAAGTTGTCTTGCCTATACCTCCCATACCGACAATGGACACCACTTGTCGTTCTGGAGGTGAGCCTTGAAGGAGCATTTCCTTCATCCTGGCCAATTCCATGGCATGCCCTACCATTTCTTCTTCGTCAAGCTTTGAAATCCGGCGGGTGGAACCACCAACTGTGATGTTCTCATCATGGATTGATGACGAAACGGATTGAGGAGAATATGACTCTTTAACGTTTCTTCTTTTTTTAATGCACTCGATAACCCCGTCAATGTCTTGTGCGAGACTTTGCAAGATTTGATGGAGTCCTTCAAGAGAAGATGGTTGATTCCCCATAGAAACAATCTCCATTACTTGAGATTCAACATCACCTTCAGCTTTGAAAGTTATGTCCTTAACTCTTGCCATCAGATCTTTAAAAGCCTCATCATCACTAACCCAAAGCTTATTTTTCTCTGATTCCTCAAGAAGGGCTTGCAAAAGAGAGAGGCTTTGATGAAGAAAGTGGATGATTTGATTGTCATGAAGAACCACACGGGGTTGGCGTTGTAAGAACTCCAACTCTAGTGTTCGGATAAGAGAGATTAGAGTAACACAAGCCATCCTCCGATCACTACTCTTTCATCCGATCCTCTCTGATCTATTTGTGATCGAGTGTCTAATGCAAAATGAATGTTTTAGCTTGCAAGGGAGGGATTGTGATATGTACCTACTCCATCTACTCTCCTTGCAGATGAAGATTTAGTATATTAATGGTGTATATAGTCAAACAAATAATTTCTAGGAGCTATCTGAGTTCAGTAAATAATAATAATTTGTAATTTGTCATATTAATATGTTGAACTTGTCACCAGGCCACCAACAGAGATTCTCAACAACTTATTATTTTATCCTAGCTTAGAGTCTTAATTAGACTTTTGGCAGGTTAAAGTTAAGAAAATTTTACTAAACCCCAATTATATAATTTATTTGAATTGGTCCTAACTCCTAATGCATGCTAGATGTCAAAAACAATAAGGTGTTGGGGGCTTTTGCACTGTACTATGATATTGATGAAACGAAAAAAAGTCGAACGAAATCTTGAAACGCCCAACGTAACCCTGATATTGATGAAACGGAAAAAAGTCGAACGGAATCTTGGAACCCTAATTAATATTGAGATTCTATAGTCTTTCATCTAGTCTGATCTGAGTAAGTTTATATGTCAATCCAACGTCTATGTGCACTAAGTATATTTTTTTATGTTTAATCAAGTAAAATTAGTTTGAACGTTTCTAAACATATTGTTTTTTAAATATTGTTTTAAAATTTTTTATTAAAGAAAATAAAAGGAATATGATAGAGTGTTTTGTTTTCGAATGTTTATGTTCTTAAATACATAGTTATTTTGGGTTCTGTCTATTTATAGAAATAAGAAACATAATTTCAAAAACCCTCTAAAAAATAACGATAAAAGTACAGAAGATCTCTATAACTGAGGTAATTGAGTCCAAATATTTTTGGATTTCAAGCTATTGTATTCTATAACAATAAATAAATAAATAAATAAATTACAATAAAAAATTTTGTCCAAACATAATTCATAAAAATTTAACAAAAAAAAAATACAATTCAAAATTTAATTTATAAGTGATAATTTTCATACATATTTAATTTCAAAATATTCACTAATTGTCAATGTCAATTCGTTTTAAATTTTATTTTCAGCTACAATTAAGACTAGTCAATGAATTCTAAAAACATAATTATCAAGTATACAAATAATGATTTTATATATAAAATATTTTTTTAGAGAAAAAAATGACCCCTAAATTGAGGCCCTCACTACTGGAAATTCTGAAATTTTCGACCACCTGAAAATTATCTTAAATCAAGTCAAAAGTCTTGTTCCGACCACTTTTGGTATCCAGAAAAACCCTTGTTGCTATTTCCGACCACTTTTTGCTTTCAACTTGATTTAAGATCACATTCAGGTGGTCGGATATTCAATAATTTTCAGTAGTGCCTATGCGTTGCCCTGGCCGAGTGCCGACCCTACTTAAATAAAATAATAAATTTCAATTTTAGTCATGAATTATTGTGTCATTGCCATATTTTGTCTTTTTTTTTTTTAAAAAAAAAAATTTGTCACATTATATTGTGGCATTGTCTTGCTTGAGTAACCCAATTAAATTTTTGAATGCAATTTAGTGACCTATTTGACTCTTATTTTCAAATTTTATTACTTTGCATGCTTATTCTATTAACCAAATATGTTAGAATACATTTGCTCTTTAGGGCATCCTCAATAGTGGGGGTTTTGGTGTAGTTTTTGAAGAGTTTTTGTAAGTGTGATTAGGAAAGAGAAAATGATAGGGGAGAAAAAAAAATTAAATTCTGAAAACAAATAAAAATAAAAATAGAAAAGTTGAATTACGTGCCCAGGCAAGGGGATGAGAGGCTTTTACTCTAAAATATTTCCCTAAAATATAAAAAAAGAAAAGAAAATGCAAACCGAATAGAGAGTGTTTGATAAATAGTTGTTAACTGATTGAGTTAGTGAATTTGATTAATTGATAGTATTAACTGATTGCAAAAAGGTATTTGGTAACTTAATTGTTAGCTGAAAACTGATTACATGTAAAATGACTTTCTCAAAAAGTTAATATAAAAAACTACTTTGAGCCGTAATTTGAAGAAATAAGTTATTATAAAAAGTTAATTAAGTAAACATTCATATTGAACAGATACTACATTATAATAGAGCCAGTAACATTCAAAAAAAAATTAAACATTCATATTGATGGTTTAATCAAGTCAAATAACATAATAATATTTAAATAAATAAAAATTGACTAATAAGGTAATTATATTACCAAATATGTAATAATGTTTTAAAACTTAAAATGGACATCCAAACCTCCGTCGTTCACACGGTCACACCTGCCGCAACACAGCTTCTATCCTGAAGGCCACCACGTGGATACGCTCGCCGGCTGTACGTTACTGCAAAGCCGCCTCCAATCTCCGCCTAAAGCCGTTGTAGCGAAAAAGTCGTTACTTCTCCATGGCCTCCTCCGTCCGAATCGCCGCCGTCGGAGATGTTGTAAGCGCATTGCCTATCTCCCTCTCGATTAGCTTCAGCTTTGCATTTTTACCTTCTCAACAAAATACAACTAGAAATACAAAGGGATGAAATTCAGCTTTTCTTTTTAAGTTTCCATGTTCGTATATGCTTTGTTAGATTGTAAATTGATATTAGATGTTTTTGTTTTGAAATTTCCGAAGCATGATGATTGGGATTTAGAAGGTGACAGGAATTTTATTTCGGGACTTGGAATTGTCGACAGTATGGTATTGTCAAATCACTGAAAATTTATTGTGATAATGTAAAACGACAAGTATACAAGTGGTGCTAAACATATTGATTTGAAGTTTGTCGTTAAAGAAGATGTTTTGGAACGAAGAGTATCAATTGAACACGTTAGCACTAGATTATTGATTGAAGACCTACCTATTAACTAAAGCCTTGTCACCAAAGGCATTTAGTGAGCATGTTGAAAGAATGGGAGTTATTGGAAACTGTTAACATTATGTTAAGGTTTGTGTTTTGATATATTTGATATTTAGAGCTCAATATTGCTTCGTTTATGTATTCAGTATCCTGTTTAGCTTTGAAGTATATATACATGAATGCTTTATGTTAATATAAACAGGATTTGTCTTTGACAAAGACATTATCGTGGACCATCATGGAAAAGTTCATTATAATTAATCATATTGACTTTGAAATTAATATTGTGATACATGGAAGGAACTGTGTTAAATTAGTAACATATTACCGCTATGATTCTTATTAGTATCTAACTGAATGATGACTTATGATCTGACCAATATTACGAAGGAATTAGCTTATACTATGCAAATTATGTTTCATGTTCATTATTAAATTTATGACTTATGAGCCATGTAGGAGAATGTTGGAATAATAATAATAATAATAATAATAATAATAATAATAATTATTATTATTATTATTATTATTATTATGGCTCATAATTATTTATTTATGTTTAATAATGATATAATTCTATGATTGACCTGTTAACGGTAAATAGTAGTTTTAACTGCATCAGATAATCTCTCACATTGATGGAACCGTGAGATTATGTTTTGCCATTCTGATGCTTTAGTCCTCTCCCAACCTTCCGATAAACAAAAACAAAAGTCTCTCCATCAGAGTTTTTAGAGAAAGGAATGTTGAAGGTTCTGGAGAGAGAAACCAAGTCTCTAATTTGAGCATTCACTGATTAACAATAGGCCACAGATATGTTCACAAAATGCTATTTAAATACAATATGTGAAAGACATGTCTTCTGAAAATCTTGTGTTCATAGGAATTATCTTACACTTCAATGTCAAGAAGCTTAACAGGCATAGGTTGAGCCATCAAACTGGGCCTCATATTGTCGTCCGCTTACCCTTTATGCACATTACAGAAGTTCTGCGTTATGGCTCGCAGCTCACTCAGTTGAAAATCGCACAAGTCCTGCCCAAATCACTGCGTCAGATCCTCGTTAATCCACGTCGACGACTATCTGCTAAGATCCGAGAACGAGAGTCGCCGGAACGACGTCAACGGCGCAATGTTCTTCAAAAACTCCAACCTCGACGGCCGGCACCGCCATTGGACCTTGCCGTCATTGTCCGCGAACCCCCCTGGAGAGACACCACTGAGGTCACGGCTACGGATGACAGAGAGAAGCGGCAGGGGAAAAAAACGAAAAGGGAACACACACGTGTATTGGGGTAATGCCAAAATAAAAAAAGCCCCTACCAACTCTACAACCCAAAAGATAGCTTGTACACAATGCACAGGGTGACGCGTGCACTCAAATAACAAACGCAATACGCGTGCACTCAAATAACAAACGCAATCACGACCGGGTTCACATCTGAAATTAATTCATATATATATATATATATATATATATATATATATATATATATATATATATATATATATATATATATATATATATATATATATGGAAGGGATCAGGTGCATTTGTGGCTTCTCGTGCGGTTGTGCGGTTGATTAATGTGCGTAAGTTTTACACTTAATGTGCGTGAGTCTTGTGCTTAATGTGCCTGAGCTTTATACTTAATGTGCGTGAGTATGTAATGTTAATGTGCGTGTGTTTTGTATTCAATGTGGCTGAGTCTTGTGTTTAATGTGTCTGAGATTTGTACTTAATGTGCGTGAGTTAGGATGCATGCCACTGTAGATCGAGTCCAAGAACACATGCAAATTCACCAGCATTTGCACGCCAAAATATGAAGAATCCCTTCACCTTAGATAGCTAGCAGCTAGGTTGGCAATGCTTAATGTCCATAGTTAGCTAGCAGCTAGGCTGTCAGATGCTAAATCTTCATAGTTTGGTGATCGATCGAAAAAAATAATCCTTTAATTCTGGAATGTCATGCCCACAGTTATTAATCCATGCATATATGCATCCTCCGGATACTGATCATAGGGTAACCCGTAAAGATAACACCTGTATATTTGTATGTTTAATTTACGTAGTCAAAATTAAAACAATAATAACCAAACCCACTCACACATATTAAGCACACAACTCACACACCTTAGTCACAAGATTCACACACCTTAAGTATAAAACTCACGCACATTAACATTACACACCTACGCACATTAAGTACAAATCTCATGCACATTAAGCACAATATTCACGCAAATTCAATACAAACTTCACGCACATTAATCAACCGCACAACCGCACGGAAAGCATTCAACCGCACGGGAACCTTTCACTATATATATATATATATATATATATATATATATATATATATATATATATATATATATATATATATATATATATATATATATATATATATATATATATATATATTTCTGTTCAAATGCGATCGTGCCCTCTGGTGCGGTCGCTTGACAAAATACACCAATAGTGTTAACAAAAGGCATCAATAGTGTTAGGATAAAAGCACAACCATAAAATGCATAAATACACCAAAAAATACACAACACACCCAAAATATGTACCATATAACTATACACCCCTAATGGTGTATTTCGAATACTGTGTGGTGCTTTTATTCATACCTAATGTTGCATTTTTGGTAATGCGTACCTAATTTTGTTAGGAACAAGTGTATTTAGATTTTGATGATACCAAACTGTCTTAGATTGTAGACCCCTATTTTTCATTTGTTAAATAAGTCTCGTATAACAAAGCCATGAGGTGTGTAAATCATGCACGAGACTAGTATAATAGATCTACATGAAGACTTGAAGGTAACAAGATGATCGAAAGATGCTTCCAGACGAAAGAAGGATTAAGCAAGTCTCGGATAGACTGCTCTTACAAAAGGAACCTTCGTCTAAGAAGAAAGGACGGAAGATGAGGACAATCTTGTGTTCCTCTCTCTTTCTCGAGCAAACAAGTCAAAGACAGACTTGTAAAAGACAATACTCATTAAGTAAAGCAATGAGAATGTTGTCTATGACTCAGATGAGCAAATCATTCAGACAAAAAGTGTCCTAGGAATGATCCTCACAAAAGACAAATAGCATTAAAAGTCTTGTACCATCTTGTCAGAGATCAAGGACAAAAGCCATAATGCTTTTGGCTCCAACGGCGATACAGTACAAGAGCATTAAATGCCCAATGCCCAATGGGTAATACTCACTGGTTATTAGGTTTGAAATTTTTATCTCCCTCCAACGGATGGATTTTTCCACTTATAAATACATCTCTTCACCATTGAAGAAGGTGCTGGTTAATTTACTATTGCAATCCAAAGAAAAACTCTTCAAGCAATCTCATCTACAAAAGCTTTTCATAACCAGTGATTTTGTGAAGTTTTTTAAAGACATATCCATCTTCATACTTCACAACTCGAAGCAGTCTTGAAATTTCTCAAGTGAAGATCAATCTAGACGTCAAGACAAGGCTTCAACCTGTTGGAGAAACACCAGACTGTCTTTCCAACAACTCAACTTAGGAAGATGTTGATAGAGGCGGAGTAAACTCGGGGAGTTGAAAAACCTTCCAAGTGGCTGTCCAGCTTAGTGATCAAGGAAGCCAGCTTGAAGTAGTTTGTACTAGGAGTGATAGTGCAAACCCTTTCACAAGTTGTGAAATAAGAGTGGAATAGGCTTCGTTAACAGCTGAGCTGCTATAAAAATCTCTCTCCATATCTCTTTACATTCAGCTATTACTTTCGTGCATTACATATCTTATTGACCAAACGCTAAGTTTTCGCTTTAACAAAAGTGTGCAAAGAATATCTAAAACAAAACGCTACTTTCGTTGTGCATCGCTCTGAAAGGAGTTACTTTGAAAATTCAATTAGAGTCTATTCACACCCCTCCCCCCTCTAGACTTTCTTTTGACCCTACCCGAATCAACAAATTTGTCCATATTTTTTGTTGTGTATTCCCTAACATGGATAATGTATATTTGTATAACTATTGCTACAACCACACCTGAACTCGACTATATATATATATATATATATATATATATATATATATATATATATATATTAGAATGCAGTATCTCTTCTTCTTCTGCAGAATCTGCTGCTCCAACGCCCAACAACTTCTCATAATTCCAATGACATTTAATGAATGACATAGCTTCCTCAAGAAGCTAAGTAACAAAAGTCAGAATATTATATGGGCTCAAAGATTATAAGAAATTGTTGGCCAAACAAAGCAAATATAGGCAATTTATATCCTACACCACGGTGCGCGTTGCACTATGCGCCCAGATGTAAAACGACGTCGTTTTAATTTTTTTTTTTTTTTTTTTTGAAATTTTCCGCCCGTGTATGGCAGTTAATTTTTCTTTAAAAAAAATCCCTGTTCAAAAATGTACATAATGTTGTACTAGAATACACATAATTGTATACATGAATGTACATAATTATATAACAAAATATACATACTCTTTTTAAAAGATAATACACATAATCTAACATAATACATAATACATAATAAACATAAACTTTTAACATAATACACATCAACTCTTAACATAATACACACAAATTTTCTGATTCGGATGTACATAATTGTATAAAAAGAATGTACATAATTGTACAAAAAATGTACATAACTGTATGAACAAATATACATAATTGTATGAACAAATATACATAATTGTGTGAACAAATATACATAATCATAGCAACTTTCTACCGCGCCTCCCAAAACGACGTCGTTTTAGGAGGCGCGCGGCGCGCCGTGGTGTAGGGTATAACGATTGGCAAATATATATTATACAAGTGGACTTGCTCCAAATTAGGTTATTTACTACATAAAAGGGAAGTCAACTCAACACAAATATAGTAGGAAACAAAATACACTCCATGAAATATTCAATACAAATGATGTGATATATATATGAGTTTAATATCTTTAATTTTACTGATGAAAACAAAACAAAACAAGAGAGAGAGAAAACATTGAAAAACATCACAGCCTGGCCTCCTCCTCCTTCAAATTCCTTGATTGCTCGATCTGCTTTAATTTTTTTGATTTCTTCATTGGACTAGTGCTCCTAATATTCAGTAATAAACAAATATTGTCAAAAAGGGGGTGAAATTAAAATAAGGGGAGATTAAAATAAAAGCAAAGATCAAACCTTACTTACTTCGAGTGTCATAGTCACGAACAACAAGTTGATCATTCCCATATGAGCTCTGCTCTTCTTGAATGTCCTTAGCTGAGTCCACAAGAAAAGGATAACAATCTTTCAACTCAATCAATTGCAACGTAGTAATATCTGCAAAGCCTTCGGGGATCTTTTCCAAGTCATGGCAGTGATGCAATGCTAAGCGTTGAAGGACAGGAAAGTGATCACTCATAGTTTCCCAGTTCTTCAATTTCGCCCTACTGATGAACAAAAACTTTAATTTGGGGAACCCACTATCTCCAGTTTTCCACTCCTCTCCCATCTTAAACGCTTGGAGAAGTTTGAGCGATTCAAGATTTGGCAACATACTGATGACTGTAATAGCTTCCCAACTGAGTTGTGTTTCCACAATTTTCAACTTCTTAAGCCTTTGCGGAAAGGAGTTAATACTTCCAAGTTTGATTGGTCCGGAGTTGAAATCTTCAACTACTAGTTTCTCAAGCATAGTTAAGTAGTGAAGGTCATCCCACCAGTTTTCGGTTTGAAATTCATCTATTTCATTGCATCTAATCCCCAACGCTTTAACATTTGGAACCTTCAAAAAAAATTCTTTGGTGCACTGGAGATAAGGCACCCAATAAAGAGTGTGCAAAATATCATGAACTGGAATCTCATCATCAGTACTTATTGGGAATGGATATGGTCCTATGGATACTCAATAAACCTCAAATTTTGAGATTTCCATAAACCTTGCAGCCATTTACTGCCAATCTCCTCACCACTGACAAGGTCCTCCCAAGTGGAAGCATTTCGAAACTTAACAATTAAAGTTTGTAAGCTGTGGTGATGTTTCAGCACCCTTACATACTTAATTGTATCCAAAGCTAGGTACCTTAAGAGAATCAAATCCGAGATGTCAAAGGTTGGAGCCTCATCAAAGCTAATTGTCCTTAGGTCCAGTACCCTAATCATCTTGAAAGACATATTTTGTCTCCAAGATACAAGCATCCCAAAATATCTATAATTACCAAAAAAGAATAAAAGGGTACGAGATTTGTGAAAATTATAGTTGTCACCGAATTTGGGCTGAATACTCATTGTTTGAAATGTTAACCAACGGTTTGCATATTCAAACAACGGCTCGGTGTAACCCAATCCAACTTCCTCACTCCTTTGATGAAAAGCAGACACAAACTTCTCTTTTTCTACTTCTCTCAAGCACAAGTCAAATAACAAATCGTGCAATCTACATGTCTTGATATTGCCAATGAAACTTAGCGTGCTAATAAGCACTAGATTTCTGCCAATTAGATCTTGTAAGTAATCCATGGCACCGTCTTCCAAACTTCTACCACTATCTTCCATAACAAATCCCTCGGCAATCCATAAATTGAGAAGATCCTTTGTGGGGATTTCTCTTCTAACTTTAGGAAAGACTCCAAAGTATAAGAAACAAGCTTTTAAATGGTAAGGCAAGTTGTTGTAACTTAGGGTGAGTATGGTTGAGCATTGGTCATGAAGATCTGAGGTCATTGGTAGATTCATTGCTGACGCAATACTCTGCCAACTTTCTACTGACTTTTTGGTTTTGGATAGAAGCCCTGCGGCTACACTAATAGCAAGTGGTAATCCTCGGCATTTATTAACAATGTGCATACCAATTGCTTCAACTTCTGGAGGCAATTTTATGCTTCCCAGCTTCTGGGAAAACAGTTTCCAACTTTCATTTGAGTTTAGGAAAGGCAAGTTGCAAACATACTTACCTGAACATCCACTGTAATCTGCTACCTCTTTGAGTCTAGTAGTCAACAATATTCGACTACCGTTGGAATCATCTGGGAAGCATCTTTGTAGATCATCCCATCCTCTGCTGCCCCATATGTCGTCCACCACAAGAAGATACCTTTGACGCATCAGGCGCCGACGTACTTTGTTTGCTAGCTCAGCAGTGCTTTTCACCTCATTGATTTCTTTATCAGTCATTTGTGCAACACAACCGTACAGGTCCTGGAGAATTCTCCGCAGATCATAGTCTTGAGAGACGGTTGCCCAACCAAGAAGATGAAAGCGAAATCTTATTGATGGATCATCATAGATGTTTTTGGCCATAGTTGTCTTGCCAATCCCTCCCATGCCGACAATGGATATAACTTGTCGTTCCTGAGTGGAGCGTTGAAGGAGCATCTCCTTCATCTTCTCCAATTCTTGGGCGTGTCCTACCATTATTGCATCATCCTGCAGCTTTGAAGCTCCTCCAGGTATGACGTGCTCTTGGTTTGATTGGGCGGGATTATATGATGACATTTGGGTAGTGTTTCTTTGCTCAATAAGTTCTTCAGTGTCTTCTGCAAGACGTTGCAAGATTTGATGGAGTCTTTCATGGGAAGCTCCATTGGAAAGGATCTCCATCACTTCAGATTCAATATCATCTTCAGCTCTGAAACTTATTTGTTTAACTCTTGCAATAACATCTCTCTCGGTCTGGCTAACACTCAGCTTTTTCTCAGATTCCTGAAGAAGGGCTACCAAAACAGAAAGTCTTTGACGAAGACACTGGATTTCACCATTGTAATCAACAACCAAGCGTGGCCGTGGCTCTAAGAAATTCAACTCCACTGTTCGGATAAGGGAGATGAGACCAACACAGGCCATCCTCAATTTGGTCTCTCTAGCTTTGTGTCATCAAGAATCAACACTTTTAGCTACAATTGTTTTGCATATAATACTTCTGAATTTTGGACTTATAATTTTCAATCTCAACTCACACCGCTCCTACTTCAATCAATATATTTTAATATTTTCTTATTATATTTTATTACCTACTCTACTCTCGCCAGCCGGCCTTATTTATTAATAATATCCTGCACAATTGGAGAGATAATTTCTAGACTAGAATTTGAAAGAATTAAATAATCTTAAAATTTGTCACATTAAAGTTTAATAATAAATTTTTTTAAAAAAATTATTTAAAACAAATTTAATTTTTTTAATTAATTAATTTATTTTTTTCAATTTTTTTTAAAAAAATTATTATTAAAAATTGTTAAAAATTATTTAAAAATAATTAAAAATATCAACTCAACCGCCACGTAAGCAGGTAACCTTCTGAAATTGATGGTAACCTGCTATCCGGTGAAATTGCATACATTTGGAGTGTTCAGTGGTTTAATTGCACGTTTTTGAGTGTTCAGTGGTCTAATTATATATTTTTTCTTTCAGTAGTCTAATTGCATTTTCAGGTTGCGTACAGTGGTCAATTTAAACCTTATTCCTTTTTCTTTTAATATTATTTTAACTTCAAAGGGATAAAACTTGGCACATGCAACTTGCAGAGGTTCCCAGATCGATCATTTATATAATAAATTAAATGTTGTCCAAGTTAACGCAGACATGTTGAATTCTTTTATTTGAATTCATTTCTTTCAAAAACACTCTGTAATAATGGACCTAATGAAAACAATGAGGAACTGTTAAAAGAATTCCTCCATCTCAAAGGGTTGCTCAACGTCATTTCTTATTAAACAATATAATCTAAATTTAGATCCATTTGAAAATAAACTAAAAATTAACTTTCGGGAGTTATTTTTAAAATTTTATAATATTTGACTATCAATAGAAAATGAAATTAATGAAAACATTCATTCTACTAAAAAAAATGACTTATTTTTACAGAAAATATATTATGAAATTTGTACTCGAAAGACATTTTCTGAATTCCTCACTCAATCTCCACACTCCCTCTCTCTCTCTTTCCTAGTAGTATCAACTGGGTAGGCCAATCCACAGCCCACCCAATTGTACGTTATACAGTGGACCATGATTCACATAGTGCTATGTGAACCATGGTCGTCAAATGAAACTGTAGTAGAATTAAAATAACACTTTAGTGTTTTCAAAGAAAAATAATAATACTTTAGTGTTGTAATAATGAAACTAGTGTGTTGATAGGGTATTACCCCGACCCCTCCTGCTCTACGGTCGGTATCATGATCGGTAGCTAACCCCTGATCCGCGTTGTCCCCAAAGTCCCAAACTGACCGACATTGGACAAGCGGGACTTCCCAACCATATTGACTCCGATCGACCTCAACGCGGATTGCCCGTTCATTACTCCAACCCGCTAGGTAGCCCGATCGATTAGGGTCGGGAGCCTAGGCATCCAAATCCGCGTGTAGCAAGGCGTCGTCACTCGTCAGGGATATAGCCCCACGCGTCATGACATCCTTCGGCCCCGAGCTTAGCCCTTGCATGCCTACCACGTGTCGAGCATGCCGGAGGCCCGGACCTTTGTTCCCTTCTACCCCTATAAATAGCGCATTTATTACTGAGATGAGGACTTTTCAACTACTTCACACTCAGGCTATTTGACCGGAGACTCCTGACCCACTGTCAGAAGATCCCGGGCTCAAATACGCCGCACTCGATACTGTACGGTATGCACACCCCCGTATTTACGGTATCAATGTATCATGTGTGTAGAAAATGAAACTAAAAAATAGAGCTCATTCACCAACGTATATTGTCAAATGAAACTATAGTATAATTAAAACAATACTTTAGTGTTGTTATAACAATGAAACTAGTGTGTGTAGAATGAAACTAAAATCCAGAGTCATACAATAACATATATTGTCAAATAAACTTACAGCACGTTTGGTTCACGGAATGAATTTGGAGGGAATAGGAATGCTATTGAACAGGGAATAGAATAGGTAAGGAATAGAATAGGAATTGTATTATGTTGTTTGGTTGGCTGTAGGAATAGACTTTAGTAATTGTATTCCAGTGTTTGGTTGGTTAAAGGAATAGAAATGGAATAGGTTTTAAAGACATAAATACCCTTATACAAAATAATAATAATAATAATAATAATAATAATAATAATAATAATAATAATAATAATAATAATAATACTAATTATTATTATTATTATTATTATTATTATTATTATTATTATTATTATTATTATATTTATATTTATTTTCCCACTTATCCCACATCGGTTGGAGAAGTAAGGAATGGAGCCTCAAGGCCCCATAATTTCAATTACAATGCTCAGCCCATCCGCTAGGCATGCAGATGGGCAGACTACCATAATTAAGGAGTCTTATACAGTTTTATATATATATATATATATATATATATATATATATATATATATATATATATATATATATATATATATATATATATATATATATATAGGCTTCGGATCCCATGAGGTCACTTAGATGGGTGAGATAATGGGGTCTCATCTCATCCATTAAATCATAACATATCAAAGGGTGAGATTGAAAGAGATTTATTTTCCATCTATGGTAGTAGTCTATGCATAAGGGTGTATAAGTAATTGTAATATTAGAGCTATATATGGTTAGGAATAGATTGGAATATATTCCATGCTAAGGATCAACTAATTATGGTGTTGAATAATATATTTACGGTTATAAATTATTGTTGATAGAGTGTGAGTTGTATTTAAACATTTGTACTCAGCAATAGTGTTTTGCGGAGGGATATCTCCTCAACAATGAAGGTGCAACCGGAAAGAGGTATGTGCAACCTTAATAGAAGTGTGTTATGGGTTATGTTCTGTCTGTGCAGCCATTTTGTTAAGTCGGTGCGTTGAGTTAAGAACCCAACGCACAAGCCAAAAAACTAAACCGAACAAACGTCAGACCTACTAGAATCCAGTGTAAATTTTAAACCAAAAAAAAAAAAAAAAAAAAAAAAAAAAAAAAACCACACACACACCCATTGTAAACCCCAATCGCACAGACCATAACAACAAAAAGCACCAAATAAATATATAAAATAACAACACACCAACAGTTAATAGATCATAACATGTTACAATTAAAATACACATACCAAAATTGCTTTACGTAAAAAAACAAAAACCAAGCTATAAAAATATGGTAAAAGTTTGCCTCAATTCTAGTTGACAGTCCAAATAAGAGATATTTGGCCTGAAAACTTGTCAACCTATTTGTGACCCAACGCACAAGCCGAACACATAAAATGCACACAGAAAAACTTCATAACACAACGCAAACTTCTGTTCATTAATTTTTAAATTGAATAACGGAATCAACATGCAACAAAAACCACAACCATACCGATAATTGATCATATCTGTCATAACAAATAATTTAAGCCAAACGCACACACGGGAAAACAAATTGCACACACAGCATAACAAAGAATTGAAGCCAAATGCACACACGGGAAAACAAATTGCACACACCCGATACAATACCATAATTAAGTAGTGCACAAGCCCATAAAATCTGCTAATTAATTATTACACCCTAATTAAGACACTACCAAAAAGACAACACCACCCCACATGCAAATAAATCACACGCACAAGGCATTATATTCAGCCAAATCTAATCCATCCAAAAACTCAAATAAACACACCAGATCAAGCCTCACCACCTCGCCGCCTGACAAAGGTAACCTCACCGGATCCAAAAAAAAAAAAAAAAAAAAAAAATATATATATATATATATATATATATATATATATATATATATATATATATATATATATATATATATATATATATATATATATATATATATATATATATATATATTTGTGATATAAAAGCTATTCCCAAAGGTATGGGCATAGCTAATACCAAGGCCCCCCTAGGAATGGCTATTCCCCTTGCGAAGGTAATAGCTCATTCCTAGGCATGTTATTCCCATAACAAAATGATCCAACCAAATGATGGAATAGTTCTGTTCCAAGGAATGTTATTTCATTCCTGACCTATTCTATGAACCGAACATGTCATTAGAGTGTAATTAAAATAACACTTGAATATTATTATAATCAAACTTGTGCGTGTGAAAAATGAAACTACAAACTAGAGTTCATGCAATAATGTATATTGTCAAATGAAACTGTAGTAGAATTAAAATGATATTATATATGGTATTCCTATAATGAAACTAGTGTGTTTGAAAAAATGAAACTGAAAAACAAAGCAATATTGTCAAATGAAATTGAAAAACAAAGCAATATTGTCAAATGAAACTGAACTGTAATGAGAGTAATACTTATTTCATGGACCACACTGCTACATGGGCCATGGTCCACAGTAAAATTTGCCCAACCCAATCATTATACGATAGACCTTGGTCCACACAACTGTATAGACCATATGGTGATACGCTAAAAATTAAATATGAATATTGCCAAATAAACAAGTAATAGAATTAAAATGATACTTTAGTGTCTCTATAATGAACATATTGTTTGTATAAATTGAAACTGAATAGTAGAGCTCATACAGATATGTATATTGTCAAATGAACATGTAATAGAATTAAAATAATATTTTATTGTTGCTATAATGAACCTATTGTATGTGTAAATGATACGGAGTACTAAATAGTAGAGCTCATACAAATATGTATATTGTCAAATTAACGTAGTTTGGAATTAAAATAATGAAGTAATGAACCTATTGTGTGTATAAAATGAAATTAGATAGTAGATACATAGAGTATAATTAAAATGATACTTCAACACTAATGAAATTAGTGTGTGTGAAAAAATGAAACTAAGATATAGTTCATACCATAGTTCATGTTGTTACATAGACCATATATAGGCCATGTTTGGTAAATGGGTGTTAGTTGTTAATTGTTTAGGTTAATTAAAGGGTATAACTAGTTGATAACATTAGATGATTGTAGAAAGGTGTTTGGTAAATTAGCTGTTAGTTGATAGCTGTTTGGTATAATTTCTTTTTTTTCAAAAAAATTAATTGAAAAAGTTGTTTTGAACAGTTTTTTGAATTTTAACATTTTGGAGTTACAAAAAACTAATTAACTACACACTTATATTAATTTTTTAACCAAGTCAAACAATTAATAGTGATCAAATAAATCAAAATTACTTATAGGCTAACTATTTTACGGCCATAGTAAAATTTGCCCACATACTAATGATTGGTAATGAATATTCAAACAAACAGGGAAACACTTGTGATATTGTGTACTTAATTACATGCCCATTACAGAGAAAAATAAAGAGAGAAATATATAACATCATGTATGGAAATTGGAAAAGTGAAATAATTAACATCTTCGATCACGGTACATTTGCGTCTTATTAAATCTCATCTTCATCCGGGGGGCGCTCCTAATTTTTGTCAGAAACAAATATTGTAAATAAAATAAAATAAATAAAAAATTCAGAAATTAATTAAAAGATATGAGGTCAAGTTAAACCTGAAAATGTATCATAGTCACGAACAATAAGCTCATCGTATCCATATAAACTCTCTTGCTCATCACGAATTTTTCGGGCTGACTCCACAAGAGAAGGAGTACAAGCTTTTAAATCAATCAATTGTAATGTCAAAACGTCAACAAAACCCATAGGAATCTCTTCTAAATAATAGCAATAGTGCAAGGCTAGTCGCTCAAGGACAGGAAAATGGTCACCCGTGCTACTCCAATACTTCAATTCTGCACAATGAATGAATAAAAACTTCAACTTGAGAAACCCTCCATCAATGGTTTCCCACTTTTCTCCCATGCATTCTGCACGGATAAATTTGAGCACTTCAAGATTTGGCAACATGCTAAAGGCGTTAATAGCTTCCCACTGCAGTAGTACTCTAATAAGTGTTAACTTCTTAAGTTGTTGTGGAAAAGTACTAATAGTACTTGGAAGTGGGCTTGTTGAAGACCAATAACTACAAACTTTTAATTTCTTAAGCTTAGCTAAATAGCAAAGATTTTCCCACCAAGTTGGAATTTCAAAGTCAGATTCTTCAGAACATGTAATTGCTAACACTTGAACATTTGGAATCCTCAAAACAAATTGCTTCGTACATTGAAAATCAGGCAACCAATAAAGAGTTTGCAAATTTTCTTGAACAACATCCTCATCAATATGCGGCTTTGGGAATTGAAAGGGATACATGATGTACCTTAAGCTTTGAGACTTCCAAACACCACGCAACCACTCTCTGCCGGCATCATCTTGAGAGCCATCAACATTGGGATCTTGGACAATTAATGTTTGTAGGTTACAATGATGTTTTATAGCACCTACATACTTAATTGAACGCAAACGTAGGTATCGTAGAAAAATTAGATCCTCCATGTCAATGTTTGGTACCATAATGAACCTAATTAAAGTTAGGTCCAGAACCCTTATCCTTTTGAAAGAATTACACAAAGTCCATGGGGTTATAAAACGACCAAAAAATAAAAGGGTTTGAGATTTGTGGAAAGCATACTTTTCACAATTAAAGTTGGGCAAGTAAGACGACCATGATTGAAATCTTAACCAACGATTGCCATTTTCATTATAACACTTTGGTTGAGTTTCATCTAATTGAACACTCTCAATCTCTTCATGAATAACAGACAAAAGCTTCTCATCTTTAGCTTCTCTCAAGCACAAGTCATATAACAAATCATGTATTCTGCATGTCTTAATGTTGCCCAGCAAACTTAGCTCACTAATAAGCACTAAGTTTCTGCCAATTAGATCTTGTAGATAGTCATGGGCAACTTCTTCCAAGTTTCTTTGGCTATCCACTTTAATAAATCCCTCTGCCATCCATAACTTGATAAGATGTTTTGTTGAGATTTCATAATCTTCTGGAAAAACACTAAAGTATAAAAAACAAGATTTTAAATGGTAAGGTAAGTCATTGTAACTCAAAGTGAGTATCTTTGAACATTGTTCATGAAGAGTTGAAGTGGCAGATAAATTTATTGCAGATGCAACACTTTCCCAATTTTCTGGTGATTTAATGGTCTTTGATAGAAGCCCTGCAACTATAACAATAGCAAGTGGCAACCCTTGGCATTTATGAATAATGCGCTTCCCAATTTCTTCAAGTTCTACCGGCAAGGTTTCCTCGTTGGAAACTTTAGAGTAAAATAACTTCCAACTTTCATCCAAATTTAAAAATGGCAAGGTACAAATATACTTACTTAAACCAGCATAGTGTGCCACCTCCTTGAGTCGAGTTGTCAACAATATTCGACTACCATTGGAATCATCTGGAAAACATCTATGGACATCATCCCAAACTTTAGTGTCCCATACGTCATCCATTACAAGTAGATACCTTTGACCCATTAGACATTGGCGTAGTTTGTTTGCTAGGTCATCGGTGTCTACCTTGCTAATTTCTTCATTAGTCATGTGTACAATAGAATGACAAAGATGGTGGAGAATTTTTCTCAAATTATGATCTTGAGACACTGTTGTCCAACCATAGAGGTCAAAATGGGATCTAATTGACAGATCATCGTAGATTATTTTGGCGAAAGTCGTCTTGCCTATACCTCCCATACCGACAATGGACATAACTTGTCGTTCTGGAGGTGAGCTGCCTTGAAGGAGCATTTCCTTCATCCTAGCCAATTCCATGGCATGCCCTACCATTTCTTCTTCGTCAAGCTTTGAAATCCGACGGGTGGAACCACCAACTATGATGTTCTCATCATGGTATGATGACGAAACCAATTGAGGAGAATATGACTCTTTAACGTTTCTTCTTTTCTTAATGCACTCGATAACCCCGTCGATGTCTTGTGCAAGACTTTGCAAGATCTGGTGGAGTCCTTCAAGAGAAGATGGTTGATTCCCCATAGAAACAATCTCCATTACTTGAGATTCAATATCACCTTCAGCTTTGAAAGTTATGTCCTTAACTCTTGCCATCAGATCTTTAAAAGCCTCATCATCACTAACCCAAAGCTTATTTTTCTCTGATTCCTCAAGAAGGGCTTGCAAAAGAGAGAGGCTTTGATGAAGAAAGTGGATGATTTGATTGTCATGAAGAACCACACGGGGTTGGCGTTGTAAGAACTCCAACTCTAGTGTTCGGATAAGAGAGATGAGAGTAACACAAGCCATCCTCAGATCACTACTCTTTCATCCTCTCTGATCTATTTGTGAGTACTGTAATGCAAAATGAATGTTTTTTGTGATATAATACTAAAATTAAAGAAATTCAAGCTCTCTACCATTTCATCATTATTTAATTTTGCTATGTACCTACTCCATCTACTTTGCTTGAAGATGAAGATTTAGTATATTAATGGTATCATGCATATATAGTCAAACAAATAATTTCTAGGAGCTATCTGAGTTCAGTAAATAATAATAATAATCTTTAATTTGTCATATTAATATGTTGAACTTGTCACCAGGCCACCAACAGAGATTCTCAACAACTTAATATTTTATCCTAGCTTAGAGTCTTAATTAGACTTTTGGCAGGTTAAAGTTAAGAAAATTTTACTAAACCCCAATTATATAATTTATTTGAATTGGTCCTAACTCCTAATGCATGCTAGATGTAAAAAACAATAAGGTGTTGGGGGCTTTTGCATTGTACTATGACATTGATGAAATCAAAAAAAAAAAAAATCGAATGGAATCCTGAAACGCCCAACTCTAATTGATATTGAGATTCTAGTCTTTGAGTTTATATGCACTAAGTAAATAATCAAAAGAAGATTAATTAAACGAAAAAAAAATTAACCTAAATTTGTTTCTTTTTTAAATGCAAAAAAATCAAATGACTTTTCAAATTCTTGATTCATAATCTTTGATGCTCAACTTTGAATATTATGTATTTAGTCGGGTTAATTATTTGACCAAAGTTTATGTTAAATTTTATATTATATATATATTTTTTAATACGGAGTACATTTTAACATATTCGTAATATATGTTTTTAACAATTATGTCAACTCTAATTGGGATGTGGTTCGAACCTAAGACCTTTCTTATAGAAATTAATGAGTAAGTTAAGAATAATAAATAGTTAACGGAACATTCCGTTACTAAAGTTTATACTAATGGAATTTAGGGTTATTTAATGGAAGATAATAATATAATAGAGGATAAATAAGGAAAACCATTAAAAAATATTAAAATCAAAATAATATGAACTATTCATTTTTAAAAATAATTACACCAACATTTTTTTTTTGTTCCGTTAAGGACCTAATATTATTGACTCTTATTTTTGAAAGCCAACCAATGAATGATTGTATTAATGAATCAAAGCTGCAATGCAGTCTGGGGGATAGAATCCCAATACATAGCTTGATCCTGAACAAAAGCTAACGAAGCTAACGTGTGCGCATGTGCATTAATCTGCCTAGAAATATGATTAAACAAGACATAATTAAAAGACGAAACTAAATTCCTACATTGATCTACTATTACTCCAACATAGGACATTATGATAGTTGATTTCTACCGTATCGCATTCCTCAGCTGTAAACAGTCTGTTTGAAGGGTTACTGTTGTTATATTCTTCTCCAAAAGCCAGGATATAGCTTCCCTACATGCCAAAGCCTCTGCCATGAATGGTGACAAACAATTCGATAATCTTCCATTTTTCACCGCAAGAAAAGATCCCTCCAGAGACAGCAACACAATACCATATGTAGCCTCTCTCGTGTCCTCCCGGTACCCCGCATCCACATAACATTGTGGGGTAGAGCCGCTGCTGCCATCCGCCGTAGCCGCCGTGAGGGACGCCGTGCCACGGCGCACCACCTGCTGGTAGGAGTGCAGCGCCGCCGTGGCCTGCCTCCAAGCCGCCGTAGGGCGCGGCAGTGTGTCGTCCCATACCGCTGAATTTCTGCACCTCCATAAGTAATAAAGCAATGCCACCACCGCTGCACTTTGGTCCTTTGTGAACATTGTAAGCACAATTGTTAGCCACTCGGGGAATGAGTTTACAACAATATTTGTTATTGGCAATCCTGAAATATTTCAAACATGTCTAGAATAATCACAATTGATGAATGTATGCATAACATTCTCATGTGCTAACCCACACATTTGGCATGTGGGATCCACTTCCACCCTCTTTATAATCAAGTTGTTAGTTGTTGGAAGAATATCACAAGTTGCTCTCCATAAAAAAGTCTTCCATTTTGGGGGTATTCTCATTCCCCACATTTTAGTCTATTTCTCAAAATCCCCAGGCGAGTGATCATAAATACCCATAATGTTTCTGTAAGCATTTTTAACTGTGTATATCCCATTGGGGTCATCGGGCCAATACCATGAGTCCTCATATCCTGGACTGACAGGTATCCTCAGTATTCTACTCACATCCTCCTCATCAAATAAATCTGATAAAATATGTGGGTCCCAGGTAGCAGTTTGTTCATCAATTAAACCTACCACTTTAGCATGTCTGAGCTCTATAGGCATATCAGTCTGCACCAAAGGGCTAGGATTATCAGGTAACCATGGGTGTCCCCAGATTAGTGTTGTTTTACCATCCCTATCCTCCTGCGCACCCGTGCCACCACCATATCATGAGCTGCCATAATACTTCTCCATGAGTGGCTTGGGCACCCTCCTATTTTGGCATCAATAAAAGTGGTATTCGGATAGTACCTTGCCTTATAGACTTTTGCAACAAGTGTGTCTGGACTTGTGAGTAGGCGCCATGCATGTTTTCCCAACATTGCTAAATTAAAACTCTTGAGATCTTTAAATCCCATTCCTCCATATTTCTTTGGGATACTTAACTTATCCCAAGCTTTACAGTGTATTCCTCTATCCCAATATTATTGACTCTTATTAGATTTGTAGATTTGTAGATGTAGATAGAAATAAAGAGTTATTTCATTGAAAATAGGGGTTCTGTCTATTTATAGAAACAAGAAACATAATTTCAAGAACCCTCTAAAAGATAACAATAAAAGTACAGAAGATCTCTATAACTGAGGTAATTGAATCCAAATATTTTTTGATTTCAAGCTATTGTATAATTGTATTCTATAACCAAAAAAAAAAAATGCAATAAAAAATTTTGTCCAAATATAATGCATAAAAATTTAACAAAAAAAAATATACAATTCAAAATTATTTAATTTAAAAGTGATAATTTTAATACATATTTAAATTCAAAATATTCACCAAATTTTCAATGTCAATTCGTTTTAAATTTTAGAGTGAATTTAATTTTTGGTCCTACTGTTATAGGGGTCATTCCAATTTTAGTCTACCATAATTATTTTTGTCACATTGCGTCCACTATTATTAAAAGTGTTTCAATTTTAGCCTACGAAAAGTCTTAAAGTGAACTAAAATTGGAACACTTTTAATAATAGTGGATGCAATGTGACAAAAATAATTATGGTGGACTAAAATTGGAAAAGTCCATATAACAATATGACCGAAAATGGAATTCACTCTAAATTTTATTTTCAACTATAATTAAGACCAATTTATGAATTCTAAAAACATAATTATAAAGAATACCAATAATGACTTTATATATAAAATATTTTTTAGATAAAAAAAAAAAATGACCCCCAAAATTGAGGGTCTTGTGCCATTGCCCTGGCCGAGTGCCGACCTTACTTAAATAAAATAAGAGTAAATACTCAAAATGGTCCCTCGACTATAGCTAAATTCACAAATTGGTCCTCGACTTTCAATTTCAACCAATTAAGTTCTTAACTTTTTAATTTTAACACGATTTGATCCTCCATCTATTTGACCGTTTGTTGACTGTGATCGACGATCTCCAGAAGAACCTTCAGCTCTCGTCGGAGCACGTGGAGGCCTCCAAGATGACGTTGCACTGGTTCAGAAACACGTCGTCTTCTTCGTTCTGGTACGAACTCAACTACATTGAATCCAAAGGGAGGACGAAGAAAGGCGATCGGATTTGGTAGATTGCTTTCGGCAGTCGATTCAAATGTAACAATGCGGTCTGGAAATACAACTAGAACCTTAAAAAACCGACGATGGACCTTGAAATTACATATATATGCTCAAAAATCACAGTTAACAAACGGTCAAATAGACAGAGGACCAAATTGTGTTAAAATTACAAAGTTAAGGACTTAATTGGTTGAAATTGAAAGTCGAGGCGACCAATTTGTGAATTTAGCTATAGTCGAGAGACTATTTTGGGTATTTACTCATAAAATAATAAGTCTCACTTTTAGTCATAAATTATTGTGTCATTGCCATATTTTGTCTTCTTTTTTTTTTTTTTTTAATTTAAATTTTGTCACATTATATTGTGGCATTGTCTTGTTTGAGCAACCCAATTAAGTTTTTTAATGCAATTTAGTGACCTATTTGATTCTTATTTTAAAATTTTATTACTTTGCATGCTTATTCTATTAATCGAATATGTTATAATATATTTGCTCTTTACGACACTTGTCTAGAGGATGAGATGCTTTTACTCTAAAATACTTCTCTAAAATATATATATAAAAAAAAAAAAAAAAAAGAATGCAAACCAAATAGGGAGTGTTTGATAAATAATTGTTAACTAATAGTTGTTAGCTGATTGAGTTAGTGGAATTGATTAATTGATAACATTAACTGATTGTAGAAAATATTTGATAAATTGGTTGTTGTTAGTTGATAGCTGATTACATGTAAAATGACTTTCTAAAAATGTTAATATAAAAATTGCTTTGAGCAGTAATTTGAAAAAATAATTTTTACAAAAAATTAATTAATCAAACATTCATTGATGGTTTAATCAAGTCAAATAACTAATAATATTTAAATAACTAAAAATGGATGATAAGATAATTATATTACCAAATATGTAATAATGTTTTAAAACTTAAAATGGACATCCAAACCGCCGTCGTTCACACCTACCGCAACACAGCTTCTATCCTGAAGGCCACCACGTGGATACGCTCGCCGGCTGTACGTTATTGCAAATCCGCCTCCAATCTCCGCCTAAAGCCGTTGAAGCAAAAAAGTCGTCGCTTTTCCATGGCCTCCTCCGTCCGAATCGTCGTCGTCGGAGATGTTGTAAGCGCATTGCCTATTAGCTTCAGCTTTGCATTTTTACCTTCTCAACAAAATACAATTAGAAATACAAAGGGATGAAACTCAGCTTTTTCTTTTAAGTTTCCATGTTCGTATATGCTTTGTTAGATTGCAAATTGATATTAGATGTTTTTGTTTTGAAATTGCCGAAGCATGATGATTGGGACCTAGAAGAAGACAGGAAAGCTCTTCAATACTTGAAGGTATTTTATTGTTTCTTTGCTATTCTGGGGTAATTGCTTACTGCTTTCCAGTTTTGCTTACTCTCTTCCATTTATATGTTGTTATGCACATAATGCTGTGCCTTTTTGAGAAAAAAATTGAAATTCTGGCATCTTTTATACTCATCAGATGGTGAAGGATTCTCAATCCCAAACCAAAAAATGAAAATTCTTTGAAATTTGAAAGAATGAGTAAGTAAACATTCCAAAAATAATGTGTTAGAGTGAACTTAACAGTTCACTGCTCAGATCTGTTTTATCCCAACATTTGGCTTGGAGATCATTTGGACTTTGACTTGAGAGATGAATGAAGTCAAATGAATGATTTTTGGAGTGTATCAAACACTTGTTTAGAAGTAGATTATATAATCTCAACAATCTGATTAAATTACTTTTACCAAAAGGGAATATATACTACAAAGATGGTGTTGTGAATGGAGACTACTGGAATACATCTTGTGGTCAATTAGCTAGGCAGCTGGCAGCCTGATTAGGCTGTTCGGAATTCATTTTTTTTTTTTACTAGATTGATTTTTCAGGGGCTTGTGTTTAACAAGTGTGTAATGATTGCCTGATTGGTAAATTAATCAAATGGCCCAAATAGCATTCATATAATCATATTTGTACAAGAAAACTATAGCATCTTAAAAGGTGTTCAAAATAACGATATATGGCATTGGAACCATGATACATTATAAATATAGAATATTAGAGTTGTTTCTCGACATCAAGTCATGTTTTTTCCTTAGCTGGGTGAGATTTGATGTTTATTGCTTCTTTTGGATATCAGATTTTCCCCTTGTCTCCCAGATTGGGCATTAATATGCTCCCAAAAAAATTGATATCCATCATTCCAAAATGGGATCGAAAAGCTGTAATGATGCCAAATATGAAATTAAGGAATTAAATGTTGCATGTGTCAGCCTTACAAAACATTTTTTTTTAAAGCTGTAATTAATTGAATCGTGCATTTCTAAGATCCTATTTCTATATATGGTTTATCACTGCACATATTTTATATTTACTTTTGCCTCAAAGAATAGGCTTCGGAATTTTTCATACTCTCTGTTAGGTGCAGCTTTACTGTATGTAAGAGCACTGCATCATTCCATAATTCAATATTCCTTCTCATATAATGCTTCCTTTATTTGAAAATGCAGCCAGATGTGGTGCTGTTCACAGGCAGGTTATCTTATCTGTTGTGCTTTCTCTATAGTCTATTCACTCAATTCAACTGACAATGGCAATGTCAGCTGTATTCATTTCCTGCTATTTACATATATGGATAGAGTGAGGTAGAATTCCTTGTCCCACTTCCTTTGTTTCTTGGAGAACTTGCTTCAGGTGATTTTGGTAATGAAAATGTTGATCTAGTAAAAAGTATTGCTGATCTTGAAATGGCAAAGGCTGTTATTTTGGGGAACCATGATGCCTGGAATACATCACAGTTTTCAGGAAAGTAAGTCCAGATTTCATTTCCCAAGACTCTTGTTCCTGTAAATTCAGTGTTTGTTATCCAATTGGTGTGGCAATCACTGTTTGGCTTTTTTTTTTCTTTTTTTTTTTTTTTTTTCTTTGTCACAATTTTCCCTTTCTCAAGCCTGATTTTTAAGAAGTTGAGCTTTATTTTATTTACAATTTAAATTTAGTTGTCCTTAACATATACTCATTTCAAATTGTAGGGAAAAAGATGCTGTCCAACTTCAGCTAGAGTGGTAAGTTTATCTAACATAAAAATTCTTGAAATTTTAGTTGGTTTACTTTTGATGCTTTGAGTATTTTTTTTCAATTAATTAATTAATTTATTTATTTTGGTATGGCAGATCTTTAGTGTTATTAGTGCGGTCAAGTCACCGAAATTAATTTTTCATAATTGTTCTTAGGTGCATTAAAGTAAAAGTAAATTAACAATAGGACCCCAATCAAAAAAGAAAAAAATAAATGTTGACCACAATCATTGTATTTTTTTTTATTTTTTATTTTACTTCACTTAGTTTTTTAAATTTAATTTCATTATATGTATTTAAAGAAATTTTGAGCATATTGAGTTTTGTACAGCCCTGAACCTCACATATGGGAGATCATAAAGAGGTTCCAGGGTGTCTGTTACCTTTTCTCCTGATACAGTACATATATATATATATATATATATATATATATATATATATATATATATATATATATATATATATATATATATATATATATATATATATATATATGCACACTGCACACATTTAGTTTCTATGGATAACATTACTTTAGCCTCTAATTTGATTTGAACAATGAATTCATTTTTTTTTGGAAAAAAGACAACAAACAATTGATGTCTTTTGGCATGTTTGCTTCTTTCTCAAATGACTCACTTCATAATGGCCAGTCTTGGTGATGAGCATGTTGGTTTCCGACGCATGGATCTCCATACATTGAAACTGAGTATCATTGGGGGAAGGCCATTCTCTTGTGGTGGTTCTCAACTGTTTCGAAAAAGGCTTCTCATTGCTAGGTGAGTAGTGTGTATATGTGATTTTGGTTATACTGTATGGCTTGTATGCATGTATTGGCCTTGTTTGGGGGAGAACTTCTTGAACAACTTTTATCTTTTAAAGAGTTTTTAGTTGCTTGACTAGATTAAAAAAAAATGAAAAAGAAAAAAAGAAAAAGAAAAGAAGTCTAATTTGTGGTAGCCCATGCTTGTAAATAGCTTTTTCAATATGTTTCTGTGTAAAAATAATAGGAGTAGCTTTTTAACAATCTTATCCCTTACACATATTTATATATAATACTCTATTTGTCCCATTTATTTGATTTATTTACTATATATTTGTCAAATCAACTCTTCTTTTTTCGCTTAATTTATCTAATAATTTCTTATCATTTTCAACTTCACCTTATTGTATTTAATAGAACTTCTATTTTAGTTTTTAAATCAATAAATTTTATTAACTAATATAGAGTTCTAAATTAAATATTACAAAAATTTTGATTGTATATAATTTTGGTTAAGTCTTGTTATAGGAGGTCATATGAAATGGAGCAGACAGAGTAATATATAGGTTTCCATATTATACTCTAGTGTACCATATTCTATGATAATACTGCTTTTATTGACCTTCCATTGATATGTATAGTTTTAATAGAAGTATTTCTTGATGTCCTTATATGTCAATTCATATATTCAAGCAGCTAACAAATAATAACTAATGTCTCACATTCATTTTTAGTCTCAGCTCAATATTATTACCTGGAACAAGCATTTTTGTCATTGGAAAACACATAGCATTTACTTTAATTTCTTAAAAAGCGTGCAAAAAGTAAATGTGAACCAATTCGGGACGGAGAGAGTAGATAAGTTGACCAAATCTATTTGTACCAATAGCTAATGAAATCAACTAGTCAAACATCTAAACAAGCAGCTAATAGTTAATGTACAGGCCTATTATCTATATGTGCTGGTTCTCTCTGTATTTGTGTTCTTTAATTCTTCATAAGCCTGACCTTTGTTTTGAAGGTTTTAGCTTAGTTAGTAATTTAATATTGAATATTTCAATGGTTGAGTTTATTAAACATAGAGGGGATAGGTGATAACAGACCCCAAGGTGAACTATCCAACAGCATTGTGCAAATAAGAATCGTATAGGATAACTTTTTATCGGTCTGTTTTAAAACTGTTTTATTTTCAACTGTGCTCTTTAGATATGCAGTTCATGATATGAACAGAAGTGCAGAGAAAATCTATGAAAATGCAGTGGGTGCTCCACAGGATCATTCACTAATATTTCTTGCTCATAATGGTCCAACAGGTATTTATATCAGTCTGATAAAAGTAAAATTCATTTGGCGATTTGTGACTAATATATCTGAGATCAATGTTCATACAGGTTTAGGTTCTGCAGTGGATGACATCTGTGGAAAGGATTGGTGGCCTGAAGGCGGCGACCACGGTGATCCAGGTAATAATATTGAGCTATGACTTCCAATGACTAAAATGCTTGTTCCTGTTTAATTGTATAGAACAGTATAGTAAATAGTATAATATACTTAGACTTCTATAAATAATTTTACATGTAATCAATTAAGATTTAAGAGTAACCAATGAATTTATCAAATATGTTTTTATAACTAGCTAATACAATCAATTGGTCAAACCAGTTAACACAATCGGCTATCTGCTAACTGCCAAACACCCAATAATTGGATGTAATGACCATCAAATCAAGGGATAGCATAGATAGATATGTCTATTTAAGATACATAAGTGTCATTTTGGTCCTGTTTGGTAACATAGTCAGCCTATCAGCAAATTTTGGTTTATTTGACCACTATTAGTTGTTTGACTTGGTTAAACAATTAATATGACTGTTTGATTAATTAGCTTTTTGTAAAAGCTTATTACTCCAAAATGCTAAAATTCGAAAGGCTGCTCAAAACAACTTTTTCGATCAGCTTTTTGAGAAAGTCATTTTGCATGTAATCAGCTATCAGTTAACAACTAATTTATCAAACACTTTTCTACAATCAACTAATGTTATCAACTAGTCAAATCCACTAACTCAATCAGCTAACAGCTATTTACCAAACACCCCTTTGTACTATACAGATCTAGCGCAAGCTATTTCCCGGTTAAAAGAGACTGCACAATTTCCCGCCCCTCTGGTTGTGTTTGGTCACATGCATAAAGATCTGGCCTGTGGAGGCCACCGGAAAATGGTGGTTGTTGGGGAAGATAACACCATATACCTGAATGGGGCCATTGTTCCGAGGGTGAAAAGAGTGGAAAAAGACAACTGCACACTGCGAGCCTTCACCATAGCCGATATTTTGGATGGAAGAGTGGAGAAGATTACAGAAACATGGGTTTCTGTTGCTGGCAACAATACAACATTAGAAAAAGAGCAACTAATGTTCAGTAGGTAAATGTAGAGACGTTAGTGGTTCTTTGGTAAAATTTATGTCCATATCGTGTATGTATAAAGTATACTAGCTATCATTGCCCAACCTGCGAAGTTATCATCCAATATAAGCTTAACATTAAGATAAATTTAGCAAAAAAATATGAATAATTATGATATTTAAGCATATGTATGCATATAATTTCACACACTCAGTGGCTGTATAAACTTATGCACATCTATATATCTTGTTTATTATGTTTTATTGAAGTCCAGTTATATTATTATATTGTACATGTTACCATCTTTTCATTTTTTTTTTCATTTTTATTTAAACTGTGCGATGGTATAGGGTTGGCCCATGGGTTTTGACCCACTTTGACACCCTTAATGCTAGCCATAGATTAAGAAATATAAAGGGTCCAGATTTGTCTACAGTTTGTATGGGGGGATTTGCACGGTAAAGTTTGAGTTATTTATAAAAATGTCATCTCGTTTTCTTTTAAAATTATGTATGATTCGTTGATCTTTTTAGGCTTGGATTAGTTCATAGTTCTCTCCTGATAACAGTTCTCATATATATATATATATATATATATATATATATATATATATATATATATATAGTCTCAAATAAGTACTCATATGGTCGCATTGTCTCTTTTAATACATTTTACTTGCACTTAGGTGCACTATATGAAACGGTTACTTGTCATTTTCACACAATTTACTTGCATTTCAAAGTTTAATTATTTATCAAAATGCCACCATATATTTCTTTTAAAAATAGTGTTTTTGATCCGTTAGATCTAAATATGCGGACAGCTGTAATTGGTTCTCAGTTCTCTCCTGATATGTCTTATATATATATATATATATATATATATATATATATATATACAGTTTTTTATAAGCTCTTTTTAGCTAGGAGTTCCTTGTTTTTGCATTGCATTGAGTGAAAAGTATAGGAGCAGAAACTGGCTAGGAGTAGACGGCAAATTATATCGTGTACCAGGGCGCATAATTGTGCGCACTGGTCTAAAAAGACGTCGTTTTGTATCTGTTTTTTTTTTTTTTTTTTTTTTTTTGGAAATTTCGTTTCCCGTTTCTTCTATTAACTTCTAAAAAAAATTCATGTTTCGAAGGTACATAATTGTAAAATAGAATGTTATAATAGAATATACATAATCTTTTTTGAAAGGATAATACACGTAATCTAACATAATACATAATAAAGATAAACTCTTAACATAATGCACATAAACTCTTAACTCTTAAAAAAAAAATCTCATGTTTCGAATGTACATAATTGTATAATAGAATATAAATAAACTTCTAACATAATACACATAATCTTTTTTGACAATTTAATAAAATGATGTCATTTTGGGTAGGGCAAAACGCACAATGGTGCACGATATAACGAAACTAGCTCCTTGTCTACTTCCTCGTGGCATGTGAGCCCAAATTTGATCTCCATCATGGGCCTATCGATCAGTAGTCTACATCGGAGTTATTAGCAAATTATGATGTGCAACCTTGTCATGAATGGTGCACACGAAATTGATTTCATAATTTTTATACTATAGATTCATAATTATTGAACTTTATATTCATAATTATAAAACTTTATGTTTATAATTTTCAATGTTTATATTTTCAATTGTTGAACTATGTATTCACAAATCATAGAACTATATATTCATACTTTGATAACTATACAGTTTAAAAATTATGAATCTATAGTATAGAAATTATGAATCTACAGTTTAGAAATTATGAATTTACAGTGTAGAAATTATGAATCTATAGTATAGAAATTATGAATCCAATTCCGTGTGCACCTTGCATAGTGCACACAGTTGCACAACATAATGCTCCGGGGTTATTGAAGAACTGAATTGATGTACTGTATTGTATAGTATCATGATTTTTTTAAATATATTTTTTTGGAGAGGGAGTGTATGGGAGGCCATCGATATACCGTGGATTAGGGTTCACAGTGGACTATAGACCCTAGTCCTAAACGACTACTGTGGATTCCGATCTTAAATGACGTAGTTTTGAATTTTAATTTTGATTGCAATCGTTTGTTGTTCAATTCACGTTGCAGGTTTGTTTTTTTTTTTTTTTTTTTTTTTTTTTTTTTTTTTTTTTTGTAAAGCATGTGTATGTATCTTGTGTTATGCGTTTCTACGTCTCATGTTATGCAATTCTGTACAAGTGTATGGATTTTTTACCTGAAATAAAGTAAATATAACATGCGCTTTTGTGTCTTGTGATATGCATTTTTGCGTATTGTGTTATATATGCATTTTTGTGTCTTATGTTATGCAATTATGTACCTGAACTAAAGTAAATATAAAACATGTGTATGTGTCTTGTGTTATGCTTTTATGTGTCTGATCTCATGTTATGCAATTCTGTACCTGAAATAGATTAATAGTTGTGTATGTAACACACAACATATTGTGTCTTATTTTACGATTTTATGTCTTGTATTATGAAATTATGTACCTATAAAACATATATTATCGACATAAATCATATTGAAGAATAAGTAAATATATAACATGTGTATGTGTCTTGTGTTGTGAGTTTTTGTCTTGTGTTATGAAATTTTGTACCTTTAGAGTATTGATTTCGTACATACAATAAATTAAATTTTGTGTTGAAACATGAAAAACGAAAAACTACAAAATTTGTTAAAGCTTAAATATCAAAACAATATCGTTTTGATTCAGGGTCTACAATGCTATGTGGACATGGTGCACGATATAAATTGCCTGGCCTATGGGTGGAGGTGAGACATGAGAGTTAATTGAGAATAAACATGGACCCATGGGCTGTGCAGCCTGCATGCATGTAAGACATTGTTGGTTCATCATATTGTACAATGCAAGATCAGAGATTCCAATAATAATAATAATAATTAATAAGCAAGTGAGGTACACAAAATTGATGATGAGCCATTGCCTAGATTACTTCGAAAGCCATACAATGATGTTCTCATTCTAAAGTAAAGCCTGCAACTAATCTAACAAATTAACAATTGTGTGTTTCTGTTGACTCATTTCTTTTGATAACATTATCTTATTATATCTATCTGCCCAAAGAGCCCTCCTTTTTAAAGCTCTAACTTCTCCCTTTTTCTTTCTTTAGACCCAACTTTAGTTAGTGCACCAAATTCCAAGCATTCCATCCCATTCCCTTTTTTGACCAATTCCCCCTTCCCTTTCAACCAAACCTTTCTCTCATAGTGGACTACAAATTAAAATCAAGTCATGGATACAATCATGAAAATTAAAATTATATCTATCATTAGTCTAATCAAAATATAATGTTCATCATGTTTAATTTGAATTATATATATATATATATATATATATATATATATATATATATATATATATATATATATATATATATATATATATATATATATATATATATATATATATATATTAGCGCGGAAAAACACACCACAAAAAAAAAATACCAAAAAATACACAATACACCAAAAAAAAAATACATCATATAACTCACCACCCCTAATGGTGTATTTCCGAACACTGTATGGTGCTTTTACTCACATCTAATGGTGTGTTTTTGGCGATACGTACCTAATTTGTGTGTATTTTTATGGTGTATTTCCTAACGTTGATGTTGTATAATCGCTATACTATTGGTGACGCCGCACCGTAAGCCCCCACCATACCTGAACTTAACTATATATATATATATATATATATATATATATATATATATATATATATATATATATATATATATATATATATATATATATATATATATATATAATCAAGTGAGAACCAACCTTAACATGCCAACTTGTGAAGGCTTGTACCACAACCACTGCATTATTGCACAACTATGACTCAGACATACCTAGAGGACATTGCAGTGCAATCGTATTTGAGTATGGTGTAATATTTCAGAAGTCCACACAAATTCGCATGTTGAGGTCAATTCGCATTTGATATTGTACTAAAAAAAATCATAATATGTCACATTGTAATTAAATATGAATGTGTGAATATTTACTATTATAATAAATCACATTTTACTCAAAAAAGAAAAAAAGAAAAAATCACATTATGTGAACTAAATATTTAAATATTTATAGAAACTTGTATAATTGCATTAGTTTAACTCATGATAATAATTATATATGGGGGCCATGCATGTTGTTGATTAGGTAGGCCAGGCATGCAGCACAAACCGTCAAAGTTAATCTGACCGTTTGAAACTAAGTTTGTCCAAAGGATAGCTGTTTTTGATGTGATAAGTCCCATGTAGTGTCGCACTGTCGCATGCATTTCCTTTCATCTTTAATTTCATGCCCATTGCCCATCCAACATCTACCACCTACTCTCCTAGATTACGTTTTGTTTTTCAATTCTACGTCAAGCCGCGTGCCCACTCTAAAAACAATCACAATAGTCATTTTTGCGATTTTAAGAACAAAAAATTCAATTTTGTACATATCACTATTGGGGCTTTGTTAATTTCATCATATGACTTTCAAAAGTGTCAATTTAGTACCTTGACTATACAATTTTTATCAATTTTGATCACTCTGGTAAAATTGTTGGCCAAATTTTTTCGAAAAATTTTAACAGTTAAAATAATAAGGGTATTTTAGTCATTTTACATCTCTTCCTTCTCCGACGAATTCATTTTTTTTTTTGACGAATCCGTCGTAGCAGCACGCCTTCGAAAACATACTTAAGCTCATTCTTCCAAGCCGTCGCCGACGATTTATTAGGGTTCAGATGGCCAAAATTTCGGTTGAAAACATCTAGTCGTTTGTGTAAGGGGAGCTTGAGATATCGTCGGACCTAGAAATCTCCGAACTGCACTTCTCTTTGTGAGCGTCCAGCGCACCTCCTGTCAAAATTCCGGTTGAAAGCTTTTTCGGCCAAAAAAAAAAGCTTGCTCGAAGAAGAAAGTGAAATGCTAAAACTGATGATGGTGCCTATTTATTCTAAAACTTCTCTATATCAACATTATGCTAAAATTGATGTTGAATAAATACTTCTCTTTTTGGATAATGTTGAAAGCATGGCAGTACACCTCATCCTCGGATTCGCCGGAAAAGATGAATTCGCCGGAGAAGAAGGAAAGATATGTGAAATGACTAAAATACCCTCATTATTTTAACTGTTAAAATTTTTCGACGAAATTTGACCGGTAATTTAACCGGAGTGACCAAAATTAATAAAAATTGCATAGTCAAGGTACTAAAT